ATCAGGATGATGTTGGTCTCATAAAATGATTTGGGAAGGATTCCCTTTTTTTGGATTGTTTGGAGTAGTTTCAGAAGGAGTAGTACCAGCTCCTCTTTGTATTTCTGGTAGAATTTGGTTATGAACCCATCTGGACCTGGGCTTTTTATGGTTGGTAGGCTATTAATTGCTGCCTCAACTTCAGACCTTGTTTTTGGTCTATTCAGTGTTTTGACTTCTTCCTGGTTTAGGCTTGGGGGGGTCCAAGTGTCCAGGAATTTATCCATTTCTTCCAGGTTTACTGGTTTATGTGCATAGAGTTGTTTGTAGTAATCTCTGATGGTAGTTTGTATTTCTGTGGAATTGGTGGTGATATTCCCTTTATAATTTTTTATTGCATCTATTTGATTCTTCTTTCTTTTCTTTTTTATTAATCTGGCTAGCAGCCTGGCTATTTTATTGATCTTTTCAAAAAACCGGCTCCTGGATTTATTGGTTTCTTGAAGGGTTTTTTTTTTGTCTCTATCTCCTTCAGTTCTGCTCTGATCTTAGTTATTTCTTGTCTTCTGCTAGCTTTTGAGTTTTTTTGATCTTGCTCCTCTAGCTCTTTCAATTTTGATGATAGAGTGTCGATTTTAGATTTTTCCTTGTTTCTCATGTGGGCATTTATTGCTATAAATTTTCCTCTAAACACTGCTTTAAATGTGTCCCAGAGATTCTGGTATGTTATGTATTCATTCTCGTTGGTTTCAAAGACCATCTTTATTTTTGCCTTCATTTCATTGTTTATCCAGTCAACATTCAAGAGCCAGTTGTTCAGTTTCTGTGGAGCTGTGCAGTTCTGAGTTAGTTTCTCAATCCTGAATTCTAATTGGATTTCACTGTGGTCTGAGAGACTGTTATGATTTCCATTCTTTTGCATTTGCTGAGGAGTGAACTTCCAATTATGTGGTCAGTTTTAGAGTAGGTGTGATGTGGTGCTGAGAAGAATGTATATTCTGTGGATTTGGGGTGGAGAGTTCTGTAGATGTCTGTGAGGTTTGCTTGGTCCAGATCTGAGTTCAAGTCCTGGATATCCCTGTTAATTTTCTGTCTCATTCATCTGTCTAATACTGACAGTGGAGTGTTAAAGTCTCCCACTATTATTGTGTGGGAGTTTAAGTCACTTTGTAGGTCATTAAGAACTTGCTTTATGTATCTAGGTGCTCCTGTATTGAGTGCGTATATATTTAGGATTGTTACCTCTTCTTGTTGCCTTGATTCTTTTATCATTATATAATGTCCTTCTTTGTCTCTTTTGATCTTTGTTGCTTTAAAGTTTGTTTTGTCAGAGACTAGGATTGCAACTTCTGCTTTTTTTGTTGTTTTTTTGCTCTCTATTTGCTTGGTAAATCTTCCTCCATTCCTTTCTTTTGAGCCTGTTTGTGTCCTTGCACATGAGATGGGTTTCCTAAATACAACACACTGATGGGTTTTGACTTTTTATCCAGTTTGCCAGTCTGTGTCTTTTGATTGGGGCATTTCGCCCATTTACATTTAAGGTTAATATTGTTATGTGTGAATTTGATCCTGCCATGTTGATTCTAGCTGGTTGTTTTGCCTGTTAGTTGATGCAGTTTCTTCATTGTGTTGATGCTTTTTACCATTTGGTATGATTTTGGAGTGGCTGGTACTAGTTGTTCCTTTCTATGTTTAGTGCTTCTTTCAGGAGCTCTTGTAAGGCAGGCCTGGTGGCGATGAAATCTCTCAGCAATTGCTTGTAAAGATTTTGTTTCTCCTTTGCTTATGAAGCTTTTTTGGCTGGATATGAAATTCTGGGTTGAAAGTTCTTTTCTTTAAGGATGTTGAATATTGGTCCCCACTCTCTTCTGGCGTATAGGGTTTCTGCTGAGAGATCCACTGTGAGTCTGATGGGCTTCCCTTTGTGGGTAACCTGACCTTTCTCTCTGGCTGCGCTTAGCATTTTTTCCTTCATTTCAACCCTGGTGAATCTGACAATTATGTGCCTTGGGGTTGCTCTTCTTCAGGAATATCTTTGTGGTGTTCTCTGTATTTCCTGGACTCGAATATTGGCCTGCCTTGCTAGGTTGGGGAAGTTCTCCTGGAAGATATCCTGAAGAGTGTTTTCCAGCTTGGATTCATTCTCTCCATCACATTCAGGTACACCTATCAAATGTAGATTAGGTCTTTTCACATAATCCCATATTTCTTGGAGGATTTGTTCATTTCTCTTTACTCTTTGTTCTCTAATCTTGCCTTCTCATTTTATTTCATTGAGTTGATCTTCAGTCTCTGATATCCTTTCTTCTGCTCGGTTGATTTGGCTATTGATACTTGTGTATGCTTTGCGAAGTTCTTGTGTTTTTCAGCTCCATCAGGTCATTTGTATTCTTCTCTAAGCTGTTTATTCTCATTAGCATTTTGTCTAACCTTTTTTCAAGGTTCTCAGTTTCTTTGCGTTGAGTTAGAACATGTTCTTTTAGCTCAGAGAAGTTAGTTATTACCCACCTTCTGAAGCCTGTTTCTGTCAGTTCATCAGACTCATTCTCCATCCAGCTTTGTTCTCTTTCTGGTGTGGAGTTGTGATCTCTTGGAGGATGAGAGCCGTGTGGTTTTTGGTGTTTTCATTCTTTTTGCACTGGTTTCTTCTCATCGTTATTGATGTACCTGTGGTCTTTGTAGTTGGTGACTTTCAGTTGGGGTCTCTGGGTGGACTTCCTTTTTATTGATGTTGAAGTTATTTCTTTCTGTTTTTTAGTTTTCCTTCTAACCATCAGGCTTCTCTGCTGTAGGCCTGCTGACGGTCTACTTCAGACACTGCTTGTCTGAATCACCCATGGGGGCTGAAGAACAGTAAGGTTGCTGCCAGTTTCTTCTTCCGTTATCTTTGTCCCAGAAGAGTACTCGCCTGATGTCAGCCTGAGTTCTCCTTTATAAGGTGTCTCTTTGGATATACAGGGAGTTGCTTGAGGAGGCAGTCTGTCCCTTATAGGAGGTCAAGTGTTAAGCTAGGAGCTGCATTGTTCCGTTCAGAGCTGCTAGGCAGGTACATTTAAGTCTGCTGCAGCAGAACTCATAACTGCCTTTTTTCCAGGTGCTCTGTCCTGGGAAGGTGGGACTTTATTTATAAGTTCCTGATGTGCTGCTACCTTTTTTCAGAGATGCCCGCCCAGCAAGGAGGGAGTCTAGTCACATTCTGCCAGCAGAGGCGTTGCTGAGCTGCTGTGGGCTCTGCCCAGCTGCTATGTACAGGCGGATTGCCTCAGTACATGTGGATTGCCTTGGTAATGGCGGACTGTCTCGGTAATGGCAGACTGCCTCGGTAATGGCGGACTGCCTCGGTAATGGTGGACTGCCTCGGTAATGGTGGACTGCCTCAGCTGACGGCCTCTGTAATGGCTGACACCCTTCCCCCGACCAAGCTGGACTGTCATGGGTCCAGCGGCACTTGCTGAAAAACTCTTAATCCAGAGCATTTCAGATTGCTGGTGTTTTTTGGAGGTGGGACCCACTGAGCCAGATCACCTGCCTCCCTGTTTCAGCCCCCTTTCTTTTCAGTTGAATGGGCGGCTCTTTATCCCAGGCATTCTAGGCGCTTGTTGAAATGGCTGCCTGGATTTGTGTGAGTTTTTGTGTGAAGACCCACAGCGCCAGCTGAAACAGCTGTGCTGGAAACTCATGGGGCTTTTCAGCCTGAGAATCTCCTGGTCTGTAGGCAGTAAAAACTCATTTGGAAATGTGGCGATCACTCATCCTCTGTGTTCTTCTTGCTGGGAACTGCACTCCAGAGCTGTTCCTGTTCGGCCATCTTGGATCTCAGTGATTTTTTTCTTAAAAGATACCTCATTTCAGAGCAAATTTCTCTTGCCTAAGACTTCCAATATGTTTAGTTTTTTTCTTTTTTTTGAGACGGAGTCTTGCTCTGTTGCCAGGCTGGAGTATAGTGGTGCAGTCTCAGCTCACTGCAAACTCTACCTCCTGGGCTCAAGCAATTCTCCTGCCTCAGCCTCCTGAGTAGCTGGGACAACAGGCGTATGACATCGTGCCTGGGTAATTTTTTAATATTTTTAGTAGAAATGGGGTTTCACCATATTGGCCAGGCTGATCTTGAACTTCTGACCTCGTGATCCACCTGCCTTGGCCTCCCAAAGTGCTGGGATTACAGGTGTGAGCCACCGTGCCTGGCCATATATCTATTGTAAAAGGTCCTCTCATGTTTTGATGTTAAGATCTCATTTTAGAGGCTACATAAGATATTTAAGTTGGGTTGCCGTCTCCATACTGAAGTTGTGAATATACTTATAGATGACTTAGTAATAGTCTTCCATCCTCCTGAGAGAAGCTTTTCTCATTCTGGTGGGCTGCAGCACCAAAGTTTTTGTAATTGACTGGAGTTCCGAGTCAACCTTGATTGTGCTTCCTTGACAGTGACCAAAGAGCTCTGTTAGAGGATTTATTGATGGACCAAACCCCATAAATGTAGTTGTCATTGCCAGGAGAGAAACTTGCCATTCTGAGTATTCGTAAAATGTTCTTGTAAGAATGTTTTATGAGCAGTTGTTTAGTATTATTTTTACCTTTAGAGATGAAAAATAAAAGCATCCATTTTATGCATGACAAGAGATATATATTTTTTTTAAAATATGGAACGCTTCACGAATTTGCGTGTCATCCTTGCGCAGGGGCCATGCTAATCTTCTCTGTATCGTTCCAATTTTAGTATATGTGCTGCCGAAGCGAGCACAACAAGAGATATTTGCACATAATCCACTGTGGGCATTTGGCTTACCTTAATATTAATCATTTTGGCTGTTTTAAAAGAATTCTGAAGAGGTACATACTTATAGTACTTTTATCTTAAAAATGTCTTTCCCTCTGTGACATTTGTTTCTGAAGGTCAATCTTCTTCCTTTTATTTTTAAAAATTATATTTTTGTCATAAGCACATAGTCTCTTCTTAAAATAGATCTTTGATATGCATTTATATACTCTATTTCTAATTCATTATTTTAAACTTTCAGGCTCAACTTTAAAGAAGCTTCTACACACTGGAAATTCTATTAAGGTATTTATTTTGTCATGTAATGATATTTTTTATTACTCTTAAATTTGTTAATGCCACAAAGTGACAATATTAGGCCATTTTGGAAAAAGGGCCTTTAAAAAACACTTGACTTAGTTTAAATTTTTTATTGAGAAATTATATAATGAATATTGTTACAGTTTTGTTCTTACATCATAAATTATTGCAGGAGACATTTTAAATAGTATTAGGAGAAAATGGGTTGGGCTTCAGAGTGTAGAGTTCTGAGTTCTCATTCTGATTCTGCTGGGTACAGGTAGGGATCATGGGCAAGACACTGACTGCTTCAGTTTTATCATCAGGAAAAGGAATGGCAGTCCCCCTTTAAGCTTCAGAGCTCACATGCTTAATTCTGTCCATCTTGGTAACTGGTTGTTAAAATTATAGTTGTTTCTAATGAATTTTACTAATTTTGAGAGCCATTGTGGGAGAAAAGAACAACAGGGTCTCACTCTTGAAAATTTATTTGTGGCAGATTTATAGGTTAAAATTAGCTTAGTTTGAAATGGATATGTCTTTTATTACAACATATACTTCTTGATGCTGAGATAAGATTACCCTAAAACATAAGTGGCAGAAAAAATTCAGCCTGAGATGAATATTTTATGAACGATAATTCAGTTGGAGTTAATTTAGCTGTGCAAATGCCTTTAATAAGCCAATATGTTGGTGGTTTTATACTGGCCTAACTGATCACAGCCTCTTAAAACTTGATATGTTAACTATTTCTCATGTTAAAAAAAAAAAGAAGTGAGTCATTCCTAGTCTCACTGTAGATTCTATATTTTGTCGCTCTTAAGGAAATAGATTTATAATTAAAACTTAGCAAGTTGTTATCTCGTGTTTATAATTACACTTATTTATATTTAGTTCTGTTAAATACAGTTAACATGTAAAAATTGGAGACTTGTAATAGAATTTCATAGAAACTTCCCTCTTGTTAAATTAAATATAATTCGATTTGATGTATGTAGAGCTGGACGGGTGCAGTGGCTCACACCTGTAATCCCAGCACTTTGGAGGCTGAGGCAGGTGGATTGCCTGAGGTCAGCAGTTCGAGACCAGCCTGGCCAACATGGTGAAACCCCTTCTCTACTAAAAAGGCAAAAATTAGCTGAGTGTGGTGGCACATACCTATAGTCCCAGCTACTCGGGAGGCTGAGGCAGCACAATTGCTTCAACCTGGGAGATGGAAGTTGCAGCGAGCCGAGATTGCACCACAGCACTCCATCCTGGGCAACAGCGTGAAATTCCTTCTCAAAAAAAAAAAGAAGATATACATAGAGCTCTCTTCTCTTCTCTTCTCTTCTCTTCTCTTCTCTTCTCTTCTCTTCTCTTCTCTTCTCTTCTCTTCTCTTCTCTTCTCTCTTCTCTTCTCTTCTCTTCTCTTCTCTTCTCTTCTCTTCTCTTCTTTCTCTTCTCTTCTCTTCTCTTCTCTTCTCTTCTCTTCTCTTCTCTTCTCTTCTCTTCTCTCTTCTCTTCTCTTCTCTTCTCTTCTGTCTTCTTTCTTCTTCTTTTTCTTCTGTTTTTTTTTTTTTTTGTCTGGTGGCTGAATAGTAATGTTGCCACTCATTTGACCTGCTTGAGGGGAGAGGAAGACAGGTGTGAGCAGTCATGGAAGTTTGTGCGGAGCAGAGCAGTGCAGTGGTGGAGTCCAGGAGCATGTTTGGAAGTATGCTGTGAATTTGTGAATTTACTCTGTTGATGGGGTAGCACTGTCACCAGCTGGGTTGTCTGTCCTAGTGTATTTTTACTTCTATTGGAAGTCAGCAGAATATTTTTGTTTTGACTCTTCTCCCCTTTTCGGTTTGGTTTTCTGGGAGGGCCTCGTGTTTGACTTGCAGTGTTCCTGCTCTGGTGCAGTTAGCAGCACCGGGAATTAATCGAAAGGAGAGGAGGCAGTCACTCTAGTTGCTGGTATTTGGAGCTTACTCCATCTTTCAGCTGCATGTGACATTTTTTTAGTCTCTTTTGCTAATTTGTTTTTTTTTTTAATTATTGACATTATGTTTTTAGTCATTTGGCAGTACAGAAATGGAGTGTCGTGCTTTTGAGTTTTAGGAATGGGTTGCATTTGAAAGTATAAAGAAAAAAAGGGCACTTCTGCCTATGTTGATGTTTTCTACAGCATGGTGCCGGGAATTCAGAGCATGGCAAAGGTGTTGGAGAAATAGAATAGTGGTATAAGGTGTAAGGAGAGCTGCTCTGTCTCATTGAGCTAGGCCTTCAAGGTCTTATTTAGCTCCAAGTCTTCTGATTCTCAAGAACATTATCAACATGGTATATTATAGTGATAGCACATGTAAATTTGGGGGGGGAGATAATTGAACATTGATACCATGGGTACTGTTGCCTTACAGAATAAGATACTATTAACAGGAAATACCTGGGAGTCAGCCATCGTGCTGTGTGGTGTACATATGTTAACTCAGTCTTTATCATAGTTTTTGTGGTCAGTGCTCTTACCATCCTTATTTTACAGATGGGGAGACTAAGGCATGGAGAGTTATGTGGTCCTCCATGGATCCCAGCTAGAAAGTGGCAGAACCTGCATTTGAACCCAGGCACTTTGGCTCCAGAACTCGAGCTCTTAACTCTTGTGCTGTATTGGAGCATTTTTGCTTATTTGTCCCTAAGTGAAGAACTTGGTGTACTACTTAACATACCTTTCACTTGTAGTTTTTCTTTCTCAAGACTGTTGCTACATTGCAGTGATTTCTATAAATACATATAAGTGTTTCATTTTCATTGCTTTTATTGTTGTTTTTAGATAAGATGTGAAGGAATCAGGCTGTTTCTCCTGTGGCTTCAAGCACTACAGACAAACTGTGCAGAAGAGCAGGTGCTGATTTTTGCCTGCCTGGTGCCTGGTTTCCCAGCAGTCATGTCATCCAAGGGCCCTTGCACACTGGAGACCCTCATCAGTCCCAGCCCTGGTGTAGCTGATGGTAAGTTATGTTAGCAGGTCTCTCATGTTTAAATTAACTCTTGAACTTATATTAAGGAATTCTTACTTTTTCATTTTCTTGAATAGAAATCCTAATGGAGTCTGAAAAGGAATTATTCCCCTTTTGTACTCACGGTAGATCCTTCCATGCCTTAGAATCAAAAGACTTGGAGCTTATTTTATATGAAACGATGACAGGAGAAATTGACTGAATTGATGAAAGCAGGAATAGAAGGAGGGGACAGATGTTGGCAGTAGAAGGAAGTAGAGACACATGGGAAGTCTGGACGGGTTTTCTGTCTATTGATGAGATTAAACTTCACCATCCAAAGCTGCTGTCTATTGTTCTTATCACTGTTGTTCATAAGTGGACACTCATTTGCTCAACCTGATCTTATTTTGCCTCTGTGTATCTTCCTGCAGTATCTATGGAAGGACAGTAGTAGCCTCATGGGATTGTTAATGGTGGCCATTTGTGCCCTTTGAGTTTTCAAGGAACTTGCCTGTTGGGACCATTGATTTATTACTGTGTATTGCTTTATTGCTCAATGACTGGCATTTGATCTTGGGCTGACCAAAACAGAATTTGAAAGGGAAAGAGTGATGCAGTGGGAGAGGGTGCTTCATGGGCATCTGAACTGTGTTTCTAGGCTCCTTTTGCACACTGCCTTGGAGCTCAGTGTGAGCAGCTCCAGTGGATGGAGAGATATATTTTAATAGAGACTATTTTTAAAACCCTAAACTCTGTTTAAAATTTGACTTTGGTGAATGAGCTCTCATCATTTTCTGTACTTTCAGTAAAGATATATCCAGAAGAAATTACTCCGCTCCTGCCAGCTGTATCAGGGGAGAAGATTGCTGAGGACCAAACTTGCTTTTTTCTTCAAATACTGTTGAAGTATATGGTTATTCAGGTCAGAAAAATTATGACTGTTTCAGTGATGGGTTTATTCTCATAGGAAAGAGTAAATACTGCCTTTTTCTCTCTTTGGATCCATATTTTTTCCTTTTCCTTTTTATTTGAGGTGATTTTATGTGATATTTCAGCAAATGCAGAGTATGTACCATTGTTAGGTCACTTCAGCAAGACCAGCTGTGTATACTATTTTGTAAGTGTGTTTAAACTCTTTGCTCTCTTTACTCCTTTCTACCCCTAATCTCTATGCTTGCAAGACAGGATGAAGGAGGAGGTGGGCCCAGAGGCTGAACAGGTGAACAGGAACAGGCAGAGCAGACCAGGGGACTAAGGGAAAGCATATGGACCAATATCCTCATGCCACTGGCATAGGTCTCCTTTATGTCACGTATTATTTTTTCTCATTGCACCAACTACATACAGAAGTAACTGGTTTATGCTTTTAATAGGAGATTTGTGACTCCTGGTCTAGATTTCTAAATAATAGAATAAAATGTACTGATTCTTTTTTCTTAGTAAATACTTCTCTTGTCCTTGAGTTCATCCTGGGTATTGTCCAGTATCTGTCTTCCCCTTCACAACCCAGTTGTTGAAGTAATAATCTCTGCTGAGTTCATCCCCACTTCATGTTCTTTTGACACCCACTGTTCGCTGCCTTCTGCCCTGTGACTGCTGAAGTGGCAAACCACAAAGATTCTAGGGTCAGCCCAGAGGGAGGGTACGCTTCAGGTCTTACTTTCCTCGTTCTCTGAGGGGATTTGACTACCCCTCCTTCATGAGATTCGCTCGTCTCCTGATATTTTCTCTGGTATTTCTCCTCCCTTCCTTTCACTCCTTTCTAGTTTTCTTTAGGGAACTGTGCTTTTCTCTGCTGACTCTAAAGATTCAGTACTGGCTGCTCTTTCTGAATGCTCATCAGTTTTGTCCCCTTTCCTCACTCCGTTCCCTTTAGCCAACAACAGAAACACAGAACTTCAAATAGAGCCTGACTGCGGCATGCTTTCATATTCTGGAAACTCGACATTTGAGTTCTAATGACCCATTTCTAGATTCATCTCAAATGCCAGCTGTTCACAAGTGGCTGGACATTCCATTTGTCCTGGAAAATCAACAGAGTATCCAGAACTTGTGTTGGGGTCCTTGGGTTCTCATTTTAGATGTGTCATTAATGAGTTGTGTGACCTCAGATAAGGCAGATGGAATTGATACAGGATAGAGGTTTGCATGCAGTCTGTGAACCTCCTAATTGTGTGAAGGATTTTAGGTACATATCCGTGCCTTCCTTCTGCCTTCTCTTCTGTCGATTGAGATGAGTTCTCAGAGCACAGCTTTGACAGGTTATGGACACTGAGGTAGCCAAAGCACCTCGTCCCTTTACCTCACGTACTGCACACATTTCATTTTCTAAGTGGGCATGTCAGGAAGGAAGTGGGAAGCCCTGCTTTAGAGTGCTCTCTGGTCTAAGAAGTATTAGAACTACTGACAGGTCTTCTCTAAGGGCTGCGTTTTCCCTAAGTCATGTGGGGGTGACTGCACCTATGTAACCAGGCTGTCCTCCTGGATCCTGAGGTGTGGTCCCACCTATTGAATGATTTTGGAATGCTCCCACTATGCAAACACTGATGGGTTTTTGAGGGGAAGAATATTATCTCAACACTATAAAAGATTTAAACTTAATCCATAGTGGACTGTCATCCCTGGTTTATTTTAGCCTTTCAATTTTTTTAATATGGAGAATGCATTTTCCAAGATTCCATGGCTTTTGCCTTTTGATGTTGATTATGTATGTAGGTAACATTGGGTGAAATTCTTGAGAGGGATTATTTCTTTAATTTCTATTTATTATAAATGGCCTTTTCCTGAGTAGAAAAAAGCACCGATTATTTGTGACTAAATGTTTTAAAGGCACAAGGAATGTTAGGTAATTAGAAATAACATAGACTAAAAATATGGGGATGATATATTACAGCACGTTGTAAAAGATGTGATGTCATTCTAACATAGTTACTGTTCTGTTTTGAAGTATTCATTCCTGCCATCTTTTGAGCTTTGTTATGATTTCATTACATGGTTATCAGTATTATTTGTCATTTTTTATATTTAGGATAGGAATTTTAGTAACATAACAGCACTTCAGTTTAGTACATGTTAATTTGAAATATAAATATACATATGTTCTTTTCTACATATTATCCAAAGGCTGCAAGCTTGGAGTGGAAGAATAAGGAGAATCAAGATACTGGTTTTAAATTTCTTTTTACATTGTTTCGAAAGTATTATCTTCCTCATTTATTTCCATCATTTACTAAGTTAACAAACATCTACAAACCTGTACTTGGTAAGTACTGTTGGAGCCGTGTAGAGGATAGAGGATATCCAAAGGAAAGCTATGCAGTCTCTTTCAAAGTGACCTTTGATAATTTTAAAGTAAAATAGTCATTTTATTTTTGTGTTGAATGGTAACTTTATTATTAGATGTTAAAGTTTCTTAATAAGTGGTTTTAATTATTTGTACCAACTAAGATATACCTCAGCTCACAGAAGTAAAAAGGAACCTGGCTCCTATACTCGGAAATGTATTTATGATATTTTTAGTATAATTATATTTGTCATCTTTTAATGTAAAAAACTCTGAATTTCCTAAAGTCTTTCCTTGTGGGTGGTTGTGTATTGTGACCTCAGGTTCTGCTCAGTGACTGGAAGCCACCCCAGGGCACACAGCTGCCATTGTATGCCTTTTCTCTTGTGCTGGGTCCTGCATCCAGCAGCTGCTACTGACAGGTGCTTATGGAAGATCAAATATTAGGTGATTAGACAAGCTATGGACAGTAAGCCCCAGAGGATTAGGAAACATAAAGGACTTTCTAATTTGGCTCCTAATGTTTTTTTCTTCTGTAAGAAATGAGGACTCACAGGATAGAAGAGTCCCTTAGAGTGGTGAAGGTGGGGGTCACATCTTCCTCTCCCTATTATTTAGAACAGGTAAAAGTAGTTTTAATGAATAATTAAAAACAGTTTTGGAGTAGGAAATGGTGACACAAGATGTTACTTTTATGGGGAACATGGCTACCTGGTTCATTTGTCTGTGCTGTGTGTGTGTGTGTGTGAGTGTATGTACATACACGCAAACACACACACCGGCAAGGGGAGAGAAGCCGAAACTTGGTGCATTTTGAAAGATGTAGAATTACTGACTCTTAGGGGTACTGGAACATGTATTTCCTTAGCTACATGTATATATATACACATATATGAGTATTTTTTTCAAAATTTATTTCCAATTTTATATGTAGTCCATATCATTGTAAAAACATGGTATATTGTTAATATTCCTAGATTAAAAGTTATTTGTTGATAATTTTTCTGCCTCATACAGGTATTCCAGATATACAAAAATTATTAAGATAGAGGTTGAACTTACATCAAGTAGTATCTCAAATCCAATACCATATAATTTTCATATTGATTGTGGAATTTAAAGAATGAGAAATTGAAAATCTTTGGAAAAGGTAGCATTTGATGCCTCAAAGATGAAATGTGACTTTCTGAATTCTTTTAAATATAAAGTAGATGATATTGATTCTCTTTCATTGGATTCATCTAAATGGAAAAGGATATAAAACTCTAAATTTCAGTGGATTTAATCACTGCAGTGTTAGATGTTAAAAATACCGAAAATGATGTTTTAAAAGTTTATATATACTTTTACATTTGCTTCAGCTATAAAATAAAATAAAATTAGGTATAATGTATGTGAAAGGATTTTCACTACTTTAGTCTCATGTAATTTATCAAAATTGTTAAAAATAGTTGTTAGCTTAATTTTTCCATAGCTGTATATCATAGATACATAAACAATGACATTACTACCCATTGTCGGTCAGATCACAAGGCGGAATCAGAAATGACCCTACAAAAAAAAAATGCCATTTTTAACTGTTTGGTTCTTTGTTCTTAGTTGCTATTTAGACAACCAAAAATACGTGTTTTTAATTGGAAACCAAAACATTTGTAGGGGTTCCATAGTGTTATGATTCGCTAACCTAACCAATCACGTGTTCTTTTTTCTACCAGACATCCCCCATTTGAGACCAAAGCCTGTGTACATTACTACAACTCGAGACAATGAGAACATTTACAGTACAAAAATTCCATATATGGCAGCTCGTGTTGTTTTTATTAAGTGGATTGTAACTTTCTTTTTGGAAAAAAAGTATCTAACTGCAACACAAAACCCTAAAAATGGAGTGGATGTATTGCCGAAAATCATCCAGGTATGCCGTTCATCGTCTTTTTACCTCTTACTGTTTGTGTGATAAAATACACTAGAACATAGCCAAAGTTACCGATTATTAGTTATTGGTTCTTACAGATTGTTGGTTATAGGTAGGCGATTTTATTGGCCTACCCTGTCTGTAATGCTGAGGTTTCAGAAGGAATTGCGTTTGAATCACTTGCTGTGCGTTGTTGGGATTGCCATGATGACGCAATCTCGGGAGCGCAGGGCCATTCTGAGAAGATGGCTGTTGTGTGCACACTCCTGGCTCCTCCTCATTTTCTTCACTTGAGTACCAGTGATGTCTGGGCATGAGAACAGAGGCCTGTCTTGCCTTCACCAAGGCCCAATAACTGGAAAGCTCTTAGGAAACTATAAGTGGCCCTTGGAGAGGACCTGTGAGGCTGCTAAGTGCCCTCTGGCATCTCAGGAGAGGCAAGTAGATCAGCAGCTCAGGATTTTGGGCTGGTTGTTGAGCAATGGTGAGGTCCCTAGAAGAGAAGACCACCTCTTCCCTGAGGCCTTCAGAAGAGACCTCTCCTTGTATGGAGGCTGCTGTGCTTTTTCTCTCTTGGTCTTGGTCAGCCAGACACATATGGGGGCTTTCCTATCAGACTGAGTTGCTTAGGGACTTAGTGGAGCAAGACCACTTGTGGAGGTCATAGAGCAGCCACTTCACTGAGGGATCATGGTGTTGTGTGCTCTTTTGTTTACTGTCCCCAAGAACAGGGAAAGGAAGTGTGATCCACTAACCGCAGATTTGCCAATGCCCTGGAAGTCCCCGAAGTCCTACTTAGGCCTGAGCTAGAAGAATACACAGACCTGAAGAGGCAGTTGAGTGGCTTTTGTGCTTCCATGTCATTAGGAACCTTGATGGAGGGACACCAGAGTCAGAGAATGTGGCTCCACTGGGGAGAAGCCACTGAAGAGTTAGAGGAGAAGCTTATTTTCAAGGTCTGAGGGAGGTGCAGTTACAGTAAGAACAACAAAAGACTTACTAAAAGAAAGTTTTAAGAAACCTTTAAATGTCTTAGTTAAAAAAAAATTAGTAAATAAAATGAAAATGGTAATGATTATTGCTGAGAAAAAAATTTGTTTTCTGAAAAAATATCCCACCACAGTGACTAAAAATTTAGAGAGACAGAAATCAGAAATTAGTAGACAAGACCTAAGTACAGGTCCCTATCTTGCAAATACTAGGTGGGCAGAAGAAGAGAATGAGGATAATTGAACAAATAATAATAAGAGTTTGTCTGAACTGAAAAAAAAAGAAGGAAAAATACATGCCTCAAACTTAAAGGGTCTTTGAGTCCCAGGAAAAATTATCAAGGCACAAACCTAAACAGACTGATTTTCAGGAATTTAGAGACAGTAGTATAGGTTTCCAAACAGGTTATGTCAAAGGAATGAGACTGAGATTAGTGTTGAACATCTAATCAAATTGGCAACCCTGCAATCTCTTTTTCTGTCTCCTTCACATACATACACATCCCCCCACAGAATGTCAGTCATGGTCAGAAGAAATAGTCATTAATTAATGGTGTTGGCATAATTGGCTAGAACCTTGCCCCTTACAACATACCAAAGCAAATGTCAGATTGACTTAAGGTGTCCAATAAAAACAAAATAATGAAGAAATGTAACAGAAGGGAAAATCCAGGGAAGTGCCTAAATTTGGGAAGTGTTAGACTACCTTAGTAGAAATAAGACAAAGTAGGCTGGGTGCAGTGGCTCACTCCTGTAATCCCAGCACTTTGGGAGGCTGTGATGGGCAGATTACTTGAAGTCAGGAATTCAAGACCAGCCTGGCCAACATGGTGAAACCCATCTCTACAAAAAATACAAAGATTAGCCAGTCATGGTGGCAAGCACCTGTAATCCCAGCTACCTGGGAAGCTGAGGCAGGAGAATCACTTGAACCTGGGAGGTGATGGTTGCGGTGAGTGGAGATTGCACCAGTGCATTCCAGTTTTGGCAACAGAGTGAGATTCCATAAGAAAGAAAAGAAAAGAAATAAAACGCAGTAGCCATGGAAAAAATGAGGTTTGACTTTATTAAGAAAAAAAAGAGAAAGATTTTTACGTCAAAAGACAACATAAGGCCAAATCCCATCAACAGACTATGAGATAATGTCATGACTGTTAAAAGAGTTAATATCTCTGCTATATAAAGAGTGCATATGGACTGATAGGAAGACAACCCCACTGAAAAATGGACAAAGGAGATGAAAGGGCAGCTCATAGAAGACGGACTGCAGGGACCCCTGCTTTCTCCAGCAGTCATGGAAATGCAGTTAGTTCTGAACCAGGATGAGATACCTTTCTTTGCTTATCAGGCAGACAAAAATCTATATGAAATATTTTGTAAGAAACTCAGTCATGCTCTTTGGTAAATTTTACATCACTTCGTAAGTGATTATCACTCAGTTCAAAAAAGTCTTAATTAAGGGGTGTAACCTTTCCTTTCTAGTTTAAAAGATCAGAAAACCATCACCTGTATTTATTGAAAATAAGTAGCTCAATCTTGAAAAGTACATTTGGATGATGAGAAGTTGAAAGAGCAGCAAATTAACCAGTGCTTCTGGATTCTGATTTTTTCTTTTAGTTGACTCTTCACAGTTGTGAGTCATCTACTTCTACTATTTAGTTTTTTAATTATCTTAAAGGTTGGAACTTAGGAACAATTAGGATGGTTCTGTCATCCTCATGGAAAAAGGAACACAGCTCAGACTGTCTTAAACATAAAAGAAATACTTTAATCTTACTAAAAAGAAGCACGTGGTGAGGCTCACAGAGAATATGGTTCACTCACATGTTCTCCCCAGTTCTCTGTGGTCTTGTCCTCTCTGTTCTGCCCTTTCCCTGTGGGAGCTTTGTCTGCAGCAGCTTCCCCCTTGATTGTAAGATGGCCACCAACAGCTGGGGCACTGCCTTTCTTGTTCACATTTAAAGGCGATCCAGAAATATAAAGCCCTTTCCTTTTGTCTGAGTGGAAAAAGTTGGGTTACCTCTCTCCCCCGGAACGTAACAAGGAACTGATTTCACTTAAAGCTGGATGTGTGAGTGGGCCCTGAGATGTTGTGATTGGCCTCTACAAAACAAGTTGTTTCCCTAGTACTGTGGATGGGGTCAGCTTCTTGCAAGTCAGTTGGGGTGCATGGGAGGAGGCACACAGAGGAATGAGGTTCTGGTAGAGAGGAGGAATGAGTGCTGGGCTGACAGCCATTTGTGCCCTCTGTGCTGTCATACCCTGCAGATGGCTGTCCCTAGAAATGGCCACTACCATTGTAGAGACTGCCACTATACCTCAAAGTAAGTTGTTATATTAGTTTCTTATTGCCACTGTTGCAGATTCTCACGAACTTAATGTCTTGAAACAGTACAAATTTATTATCTTATAGTTGTGGAAGTCAGAGATCTGAAATAAAGTTATTGGCAGATCTGTGCTTCTTGAGGTTCTGGGGGAGAATCGTGTGTTCTTGACATGTCCAGCTTCTAGAAGCCACTTGCACCTTGGCTGTGGCCCTGCGTCATACCACCTTTTCTCCCAGTTCCCACTGTCACTTAGCCTTCTTTGTCTATTATCCTCCTGCCATCCTCTTATTATAAGGATCCTTGGATTATATTGGGACCATTTGGATAATCCAAAATAATCTTTCTGTCCCAACATCTTTAACTTAATCACATCTGCTAAGTCTCTCTTGCCATGGAAGGTAACACATTCACAGGTTCTGGGGATTAGGACATGGACATCCTTGGGGAAGTCATTATTCAGCCCACCAATGCTGGTAGGTCTGTAAGGTCCAGGATGACTTCATTCACATGCCTGCTACTTGGTGGGGGCAGTTGGAAAGCTGGGATCATGTGGGACTTCATGTTCTGTTTTCTTGCTAACAAGATAGTTGGACTTCTTGTTTGCCTGCTCAGGGCTCCAAGAGTGAAATGTTTCAAGAGATGGGAATTGTTAACTGTCAGCCTCTTGGGCCTGGGCCTGATATTGGCACAGGTCTCTTCCACGCTATTCTATTGGGTAAAGCAGTCATACAGTCCATGTAGATGAAAGGGAGGGGACTTGGGCCTCACCTCTGTGGAAGGAATGTCAATGAATTTGTGGTCATCTTTAATTTGCTATATATGTGCATATTGTTTTATTCTTTTTAGTTTGTGGGGAAAATGGGAGTTATGGGTCAAAAAGTCACAGGTTATTGAGTCATAAGAGACTTTAGACCTAATTTAGCACCTGTGTCCTGCAGATTAATATACATGTATGTGTATATGTGAAATCCAAGTGACTCACGTGGCTTGCCTTACAGTTAGGAATGTGGAGAAGCAAGTCTCTTCAGACTAGTTTGGGCCTCTTCTTTCTGTACCATACTCATCCTTGGGTCATTCCTACTGAAGCTTCAAAATGAATAAAGTTTTATTTTCCTGTGGAAGATAGTGGATCCGTCAAAAAGATGAAATAATTTCCACAGGCAAGCATATCTCACAGTGTGACAGTGCCTCTGATAAGCCACATGGGCTTAGTAACTAAGGTATGAAGAGAAAAATTATTACAAGTATAATCTTCCATTAATTATTCCTAGAGATTACTATTGGATATCTGTTTTGTTTTCAAACTGTCCCTTGATAGTTACTGAAATTACTGTTTTGTTCTATTCGTGGCTTATCTCTTCTTGTAAAAAATATTCACAGTGGGTAAAATTTTAGTTGTATTTGGGCTGTATATTTTTGACACTTGGAAGTAATAATGGAGTTTGTAAAGATGAAGCAAAATTATATGTATATTTTGTTTGGAGGAAACCTTTAATTCTCTGTGGATACGAGAGCAGAAATCAGTGTTAAGCTTTGTGAGTGATTGCATGAATTACTTTATTTCTTTGCACATCTAAAGTCTTTTAAATATTTAAAATTTTGTAAATATTTATTTACGTTTGACCTAAAGATTCTGAGGATAAAACTCAGATCAGCATTCTTCTGATAAAATACCCCTTAAAGATCTTCATACTCTGCTGTCAAGGTGCCGCTTAGTCATATGAATGAAATGATGCATTCTAGCATTGTTGCTGCAGGATATCCCCTGAATTTTCAAATCTCTGTGACCATAGGAGCAAATGCTGAGGTGTAGAGACCTGATGTGATGATAATACAAATGTGTCTGCACATTAATGTATTCTGTGGTTTTACAATGCAAATGAAACCTTTTAGGTTGGGAAAATTTCACAGTCCTTCTTTCTGAAATAACTTAGTAGTTTTCCTCTTAAAATAGCTGAGTTGGGAGGGATTTGTTGGTTAGTTAGAAAGTTGGTAAGTACAGGCTCTGGAGCCTGTTGTGCTTCAAGCAGCTGCTGGTTTTGGTGTGCTGTACCCTGTGCACAATGATAGTAACCAGAGTTACTTAGAACAAGGCAAGACTGAAGTTTTGCCTGGTGTTCTTGAGTCGGGGTGAGCATCATTGAGAAGTGTGCTGACTTTCTTCCAGACTGTTGGTGGTGGTGCTGTGCAGGAGAGAGCGCCTGAACTGGATAGTGGTGGGCCCCCAGAGCAGGACAAAAGCCATTCTAACAGCAGCACCCTGTCGGACCGAAGACTCAGCAACTCCAGCCTCTGTAGCATTGAAGAAGAGCACCAAACAGTGTATGAAATGGTGCAGCGGATTCTCTTGTCAACACGAGGTTATGTCAACTTTGTGAATGAAGTATTTCGCCAGGTTAGTGTGTGTGTGCATGGGCGCCTGTGTTACAAGTTCTTGAAATGGAAGAGATTTTTCTTTGTGTTCTTTTACTCATAACATTCCAACAGATAGAATTGATGAGTTAGGTTACATTACAGAACTGAATAATAAAGAATGATCCCTGTAATCTTTTAATTTGTGTGCATTGTTGTGATTTTAAAATTTTGTTGTTGAAAAATATTTATACAAGGAGGGAAAATTCTATACTTGAGCAAAATCATGAGACAAATACTTTCATGTTTTTATAACAAAGTAAACCTGGAGGTAGGCAGGAAGAAAGCCACTCCTGAATACCCAGCAACAAATGAACATAGCAAAGAAGAGTCCAGTCTTGTTCCCAGAGCCTCAGGGAGCTCTCTGAGGAGCTGGTGGTTTCTGCAAAAACTGCAGAGGCCTGTGGCACACACAGTATGATAGAAGTACTTATGGCACAGCAGAAAAAGGTGGCAAAGGGAATAAAAGGAAAGAAAGCAGAGACCAAGACAAGAAAAGAGGTGTGAGCAAAGGAAGGAGACAGGAGCAGTTAGAAGCCCAGGCTACAGTTAGCAGTCATGAGTGGCATCAGAGGTTTGCAACTGGGGTTGAGGCTACTCCCTAGGGGACATTAGCAGTGTCTGGAGACAGTTTTGGTCATCACCACTGGGGAGGAAGTGCTACTGGCATCTTATCGGGTCGCAGCCAGGGGTGTCGTTAAATGTCCTGCAGTGCCCAGAACGGCCTCCACTTCCACCATGACAAAGAACTATCTGGTTCAATGTTGTCAGTTGTGCTGCTGTGGAGAAACTCGGCACTAGCCTTCAACACAGCAAGCAGAGCTCCCACAGCTCTAGAGTGTGGCATGTGGTCAGTGCCACTTGATTCTAGGTACTGGTGCTCTTGAAAACAAGGAATGTGGCCTATTTGTGGGTATGTGTATATGAGGGGGAATAGTTGTTTTCGTCCATACACCTGAAAAGTAGGTTAATCCCTTGAATGGCAGAGTCCATTTGTAGGTGAGGAGGAGAGGAACAATCCTGTACATATGAATGACGGGAATGCACCACAGAGAACTTCTTATGGTGAGACAAGTTTTGATACAGTGAATGATTGACCCTCTCACTTCTGGGACTTTCATTACAAAAAAATCAACCAATCATGAAAGTTCCAACCTAATCCATAGCAGTGTAGAGATTTTACATATTTTCATTTTAATGAAGAAAAAAATTTCACTTGAGAAAATGTTTGTTTAGTCTGCAATGAAAATTCCTCTTAAATATTTTTTCCTGTTCTGTGGGCCGGCATTGACTTGGTTCTTCTCACTCCTTGTGTCTTCTGTTTCATGTCTTGGCCCCTCTTTGTTTCATCCCAGATTATAGGTGTTAACCAAAATTCAGGGCTCTAGTCTCTTCTGTAACTCTACACTTGCCTCTTTGGGGCCTTTACTGCCCATCCAATGCCAGCAACCACTGTGGCATATGGCTCCCAATCAGGCCTTTTGTCTGGACCTCATTTGTAGATAAAAATATTTATTTCATTAAAAAAATTTTTTTTATACTCATGAAAGATTTGTTACTGGCAGAGGATACCCAACACCAGGAGCTGGAAAGCGCAGTGTAACACTATGGAGGCCGGGTACACCTGAGCGTAGCTTTGAGGGCCCTCCCTCTGTTGCACAGAAAAGTGCCCCCTTAGGACCATGATTCACCAACATGCGGGTAAGATATCTGTCTCAGGGAAGACAGGGCACAGGTTTACAGAGAGGTCTTTTAGACCTCACTAGTCACACAGCAAAATTCAGGCAGAATGACTGGGTAAACCAGTTATAGACTCTCAGTGTCTTGTCTACATTTTCACTGAACAATGTAGACAAACTGGCACTGGGTGCCTCCTACACTTACCTTTTAAAATGCCTACCTGCCATCAAATCTGATATTCCCGTAGTATCTTACTGATAACAAGGACAAAGCCTGGCTCATTTTCCCCCTAATAGCAGCTTCTCCTCCTGACTTGACTGATTGTTCAAAGGGACCTGTATTCATGTCTGCATCTTAATTTTAATGCTCCTAGGTTCCCCATCTCCTTCTCCTCCTGTGACAGTCACTGGGCAAGTCACACAGGAGCTTTGCTCACTCCTTTCTTCTCCATTTCCTTTGACTGTGGTTAGCAGCCCTGTCCATGAAGCACCCCTTCTTCTGTATCATCCCTTTCTAGGTAATACTGCACACATCATGCTGCCAAAAAATTTTTTTTAAATAATAGTCCATGATTTTAAAATCTACCCCATTCCCGACATTAATGTTGTCATATTTATGCTCCTGTTGTACATGTGAAGGTGCAACCAGATAGAAGTCAGTTGATATTAAGGCTGACTGACGCAAGGGGGGGTATGGAAAAGTGCCTTGGGGTGGGGATAGGGACTGACAGAGTAACTATGACAATGGAATCCTTAATTCTTTATTCATTCTTTCTTTTTTTTTTTTTATTTTGAGACAGAGTCTCATTCTGTCACCAGGTGCCAGGCTGGAGTGCAGTGGTGTAATCTCAGCTTACTGCAACCTCTACCTCCTGGGTCAAGCAATTCTCCTGCCTCAACCTCCCAAGTAGCTAGGACTACCGGTGTGTGCTGCCACACCCAGCTAATTTTTGTATTTTCAGTAGAGACGGGGTTTCACCATGTTGACCAGGATGGTCTTGATCTCTTGACCTCGTGATCCACCCGCCTTGGCCTCCCAAAGTGTTGGGATTACAGGCGTGAGCCACCATGCCCAACCTATTCATTCATTCTTAATGAAAATTCTGAATTTTACTTGAATTTAACAGAAGGACAGACAATAAAAGTAAACGGAAGGAATTGTTGAAATCCAGTGAATATTCCTTTACCATAAGAAATATTAATTGCTGAAAGATTTGTCTAAACTTAAAAAGATTATAACAACATCGAGGTGTTGGAATCACTTTGAACTACATGTGGTAATTTTAGATAGCACTATGGGTTTCCTACCATGAAATACAAAGAAATTAGCAGCCATGTATTTTCTTTAGGCCCCTCTATTTGCTAATTTTACTATATTATACATTTATGTTATAAATGTACCATCATTGGCAGTTGATTTCAAATCCTAATGAGCAGAGTTGTTTAGTCTTGCTTCTGTATTTACAAAGATTTGTTCCTCCTGTTCTATAGTTCTAAAGAACTTACTTTTCTTGCTTGGCCTTGTTTTGTCATTGAATGTTTTCAGGAAGATGTCCTGGAATGCTTATACCTTAAGTCCTTTTATGATGGGGAAGGTTTTTCTTTTGCCTTTATGTATGAACAGCAGCTTAGCTGGGTATAATGGTCTCGGGTCACTTTTTTCCACTTGGGAATTTGTAAGTCAAAACTTTTCTAGACATAAAAATCAGAAGAAACGGGAAAATCTCACAAGGACTTCAGTTATGTAACTGAGACTTTAGAAGAAATAGGTTTAATATATTTAAAGAAACAAAGAAATAAAAGACACCAAAATAGATGATGAATGCAGATTAGGAAGAAAATAGAACTTCCAGACATTTAAAAAAAACAGGTAATAACTGGAATATTAAAAGAAAACCTAAATGGGTCAGTTTAATAATAGATTAGATGCAGCTGAGGAGAGATTGAGCTGGATGACAAATCTGAAGAAATGGTCCTGAATGCACCTCAGAGAGATGGAGAGGTGAGAGCTGTGAGAGATTGAGACCTGGAGGATGTGGTGAGAAGGTCTGATCAGTGCTCGTGTCTCTTCTGGCTACATTATTTTTTTGCTTACTGTTCTAACACTTTTGGAGAGTATCCTACTCTGACTGTGGATTTGTCTATTTTTGTTTGAAAGCCTATCAGGTTTTGCTATATTTTTGGCAAAATTATTAGTTGCAGCACAGATTTAGAATTATTTCATGTTCCTTTGAATTGAGTGCTGTCATTAAGTTTCTGTATTCATCTCGTTTTGGGTGGAGAGGCACAAAGTCTGTCTTGTCTATTTTTAATATAGCTCTACCAATTTTCTTTTGGCTAGTGTTTGTAAGGTCTATCTTTTGCTTACTCTTTACTTTCAGCCTCCCCCATCCATATGTTTTAGATGTCTTCTTATAAATTGTAGCTCAGTCTTTTAAATAGATTTTTAAATCCAATCTTAGTCTTTTGATTGGATGATTATTCATTACAGTTAACATAGCAATTGCTATTAGGTTTAAGTCTGCTGTCTTCTTACTTTCTAGTTGTATTGGATCTTCAAGTTCATTGTTTTTAATATCCCATTTTTCTTCTCAAATGAGTAGTTTCAGTCATTTGTACTTACTTTAATAGTTACCGCATGCATTCCTAGCTTAAAAGCTAGCATTAATTCTAACTCTTACCCTCAGCATACATGTTAGCTCCATTTACTCCTCAGTTTATTATGAATAAATAATACATAGATATTATTCCTTTCAGAAACACTATAAAGTTTGTTTCATCGAGTTTTATTCTTTTTTTCATATATATGTTTTTTTCATTTAGATTTATCCACATTTTCTCTCTCTCTCTCTCTCTTTTTTTTTTTTGAGGTGGAGTCTGGCTCTGTAAGCCAGGCTGGAGTGCAGTGGTGTGATCTCAGCTCACTGCAACCTCCGCCTCCTGGGTTCAAACTATTCTCCTGCCAAGCATCCCAAGTAGCTGGGACTATAGGCACATGCCACCATGCTCAGATAATTTTTTGTATTTTTAGTAGAGAGGGTTTTCACCATGTTAGTCAGGGTGGCCTCGATCTCCTGACCTCATGATCCACCACCTTAGCCTCCCAAAGTGCTGGAATTACAGTCATGTGCCACCACAGCCGGCCTACATTCTCTTTGCATTGTATTTTATTGCTTCCCAAATCTCTGAACGGGGGAAATTTCCCTTCTATCTGAAGAATACGTTTAATATTTCCCTCAGCTCAGGTTTCTTGGTAACAAATTTTCTCATCTGAAAATGTCTGTAGTTTGCTTTCATTTTAGATGTGTTTTATTTCTGGGTGTCAGAGTCTACATTGGCAGCCCTCTGCACATGAATCTTTTGTTCCATTATTTCTTGACTTCCATGATTTCTTTGACAAGTCATGGAAAGCCATGTGGTTGCTCTTTTGGAAGAAATGTGTCTTTTTCTTCTGGCTGCTTTTCAGATTTTTCTGATTATCTTTGGTTTTCAGCAGTTTTACCTGTAATATGCTTCATATTTATCCTTGTTTTTCTTTGTGACTCTTATATCCAGGGATTGATATATTTTACTCATTTTGGCTAAATTATCAGCCACTCTTTCTTCAACTATTGTTTCTTCCCCCCATCTTTTTTTCCTTTTTTTCTGCATCTCCAATCATTCATAATATTTTCATTGTATTTTCTCTCTGTCATCCTCTCTTCCGATTTATCCATTCTTTCATCTCTTCATAGTTCATTCTAGATATTTTCTTCTGATTTTTCTTCCAGTTTTCTCTTCAGCTATGTTCATTCTGTCCAACCCATATATGCTGCATTTTTGAGTTATTTTATTTTAAAATCCCATTACTTAGGCTTTTGATACCACCATTATCTTGACATTGATATATTGCATGAACCCTTGTTAAAGTGAGTACTGCCTGTAACTGGATCCTGTGGCGTGAACCTGAAGAGCAGTATTAAAACAAGTCCCAGCAACTTCAGACTAAGACCTGGATTTGTGGCTAACTTTGTACACTTGGAAGAATATATCTGGTGCTGTAAGCCTCAATATCCTAATCTGTGACATTACAGCATCTGAATATGGGGTACCTTTTTTTCTTATTCTCCTTGACTATAGAAATAGTCCTTAAAATTGATAAGCAAAAGGCTAATGCATTTCTCCTTTAAATTCTTTAACATTTTTGGAATCTTCTCACATTAAATCAAAATTGTTGTGTGGAGATGTGTAAGAGAATTCCTTAATGTTAAAAAGTTCTTATAAATATGCATTATGCTACAACTTGGCCAGAGGTTCTTGTTAACATTGAGCCAAACTCACTAGTAACCTGATAAATGTGACCTGATACATGTTTCTCAAAAAAATAATAACAAAAAAGGAAGGAAGGAAGGGAAAGGAAGAAGGACAAAGACAAAGAAAAGGGGAAAAAAAGAAGCAAACTCTTGATTTGTAACAGTTGCTGACTTCTGTGGTAGAACCACTCCCACCATGGCTGATTCAGGCCAACACCCTGACATCAGTGAACATGGAGCTGAGAAGAGACGGGCACAATTATTTGCCACTGGCTGTACAAGTATGTCCCTTCTAACCTATTTCTGATTTGTTGGGAAAAGTTCCAAGTTGTGCATTATAATTTTGTTTTGTAGCCAATTAAAATATTTCTATAGGTATGATTTGGTTATATTTGTAGAAAAATTATTCAGAATATAAAAGTTATTGTTTTCTTTTTTGAGATGGAGTCTTGCTCTGTTGACCAGGCTGGAGTGCAGTGGTATGATCTCAGCTCACTGCAACCTCCACCTCCCAGGTTCGAGTGATTCTCTTGCCTCAGCCTCCTGAGTAGCTGGGATTACAGGTGCATGTCACCACGCCCAACTAATTTTTGTATTTTTAGTAGAGGCGAGGTTTCACCATATTGGCTAGGCTGGTTTCGAACTCCTGACCTTAGATGATCTGCCCCACCTTGGTCTCCCAAAGTGTTAGGATTACAGGCTTAAGCCACCATGCCCGGCCTATAAAAGTTATTTTTAATGGCCATTTTTTGGGGTTCTCTTAGAATGTCTTTGTTTCTGCAGGTAAGTTTGGTGTGCACAAAGATATATGTCCCTGTGTAGAGTTTACGGTGTTTACAAGCTATATGTTCCGCAGGAAAGTGAAATTGGTGATGGTCGTTGGAAATGTCCATGATGCTGCCTTACACTGGTCTGAGTTTGAGTGTAGTTAAAGAGGGTTTTCTCTTTTCCTTTCAGGCATTTTTGTTGCCTTCCTGTGAGATAGCTGTAACAAGGAAAGTAGTTCAAGTGTACAGAAAGTGGATTCTCCAGGACAAACCTGTGTTCATGGAGGAGCCAGATAAAAAAGATGTTGCCCAAGAAGATGCTGAAAAATTAGGATTTTCCGAGACTGATAGCAAGGAGGTAATTTTTTTCACTTGTCTTTTGAGTTGAGGGTAAATGTATTTTAGTAAAGAATACCTGCTCAGTCAAGAGTCTTGTCAATGGGACAAAGGCAGGTGAATCTCTTTTTTATCCCATCTTATGCTTCTGAGTTCTGTGAGGATGTACCTTAGAGAGTAGCTTTTGTACTCCCATTCTAGATTGGCAGTCATCTCCTGCAGCTCAAGCCTGGGCCATCTGCATGTTCCATCTTTGTTTCGTCATCATTGTCACAGGAGAGTTGTTTAATAAGCCGTCAAATTTTACATGTCTGTGAGACTGAAAAAATCACTGCCTTCTCCTTGACTTGTTTAAATAAATATCATTAGGAGAAACTAAGCAGACTTTTCCTGTGCAGTGGCCTGTACCAGAAGTAGCTGGGTATTACCCCTGTGAAAGGACTAACCAAATAGCAGTGTCCCTCCCCTGTAAGCCTCGCTGAATGCTGGCCTCCTGGAGGGGCCACTGTCTGTGTTAGATAAAGCTATAGGCTGGATAAATCCAAAACGACAGAATAGAACATCTTCCTGAAACAAAAGAAACTCAAGTGATATTTATATTTCTGACATACCATTATGAAATTAATTAAAATGTTTTAACGTTTTTCACTAGAGGCATATCACTTTAAAATATCTGTTAATTCCATAATTAAAAATTTTCAATATTGGAGAAATCATTTTAATACCTATCATGAGATCTAAATGAACAGGTAAGCAAATTACTTAATCACTCATTTTAGAGGTCTCTATTCCATGCTCACTCAATTATTGGACAAACACAACTCATTCTTTCAGCACATACTAAGTGCTGAGCACTATTTTAGGTGTTGATGGTTGAGTGCGAAGCACTCTAGCTCCTAGAACCTATTTTCATGTGAATCCTGGTGAGTTTAAGGAATTAATTATGCAAACTAAATATAAATTGGTTCATATATTTAATTATGCTTATAATTAAATGTAAGTTAAACATGTGCATCTTCCACTCTGTTAATGGATCATTATCTTCTGAAGGCCTCGTCTGAAAGTTCTGGTCATAAACGATCTTCCAGCTGGGGCCGCACATATTCCTTCACAAGTGCAATGAGCAGAGGATGTGTGACAGAGGAGGAGAATACAAATGTGAAAGCTGGCGTCCAGGCTTTGTTGCAGGTATTATGTGGCTGGCCAGGACATGAAGACCCCTCCTCCCCCTGCAGCTGAAGCCATTTTGAACATTTTGTTTATTGGGGATAATGTCATATAAAGTATGGTAGTATTTGTAGCCATCTGTCAGTAAACAATAAACAGCAGTTTAATTAGCTATTAAATTCTTATTCTCAGTTTTCTTTCTAATTCCTATCCACAATTTACAAAAACGTTTTTCTTGTCAGAGAACACATAAGAACTGGTTGTAGTTTTTTTGAGAGAGATTATTATATAGTGAATGTGAAATAACTGAGATTTAAATCTTAAAATTATCTTCTGAACACACATGGGTAGTTAGTTATTTGGGCTCTAATTTGCAAGACAAGCTTGGCGACTGTAAAATCTTATAAGTAATATTCCTGTTAAAATTGCCTGTGTTTATGAAGAACAGTGACTGATGTAGTTTTTAGGTATTAGAATGAATATGTGAAATAGAACTGACACTATTTGGGAACATTTGAAAGAGCAACTTTGGATCATTACTTAATCTCCCCAGAGGTCAAGATTTTACCTTAAAAATGGGAATTGGGAAGTTTTTCCTCAGGTCTCATGTAGCTTGAAGGTTGCTAGCAGTATAAGTGAAAATACAGGGTGCCTCTCATTCCCTGCTCACTGCCTCCTCTCCCACCACCCTTCATCCACGTTTGTAGCTGTGTCACTTAGGCCTCCCATGTAGAGGCCAGGTGTGGGGTCTGGGGAAAGTCTGGGAATGACATAAATGTTTCTCTTTTCTGTCATCTGTTTCTTGATATGTGTCCTTTTTGTTTTCAAGTGAATTAGCAGTATAACTTATGCTCATGAGTTTCTCACTTTTCATTGAAAACCTACAAATAATTTTGAAGTTAACTTAAAAAAATTGACATGATTTTACTTGTGCATCTTTAAAGACCTTTGGAGCAGCTCATAAATATGACCTGTGTCCCCATCAGAGAAACACTTGGAGGAGTCCTTGCCCTTTGTCCTTCAGTAGCTCCGTTCCTTAGCTAAAGGGATCTCCATTACCAGCATGTGGTGGTTGCAGGTGCCAGTGATCTCCTAGGTTCAAAAGAGCTTGCTATTTATTTTCTGAAAGGATGAGTTACGTTTACAGTAAGTCTTCACTAATGTCAACAATGGGTTCTTGGAAATGACGACTTTAAATGAAATGAGTACAACGGGTCTTTGAGTAACATGGTTTGATTCAACATAATTTGTCATAATGTTCATAAGAAAAAAAATGGTTTTGTTATATTTTGCTTAATGTCACCATTTCCAACAATGTCTTGATGACATTAAATGAGAACTTACTGTCCTTGGCTGAACTGAGAAAAAACAGTCTCAATTTTATTATATGTAGTGCTACAGTTAAAAAGATATTTACTTTGGATTTAAGCAGTTGGTTTTGTTCTGGTGTCTAATACTTTGGTCTTTTGCTTTGTTTATTAAGAAAAGGAGGCCAAATGGAGGTTTGATAAGATAGTAGTTTTCTTTCTTTTTTTCCCACTGTGTCCCAGATGCTTTTGACAAGTGCAGTCTGGAAATATTAATTTAGTTTATTTTTACCTTAACTGATATGAGCACATTAATAAGAAATACTCATGTAGTTGGCATTTTCATGTTTTGTAAAAAGTAAAAGTATATAAAGACTCCTTTCATGAGAAAGTGCAAAAATTTTAAATTCACATTCAAGAAGTCACATATTGAATTAAAAGGATCTGTGTTGCCATCTATCATGTGTGGTATACTTCTTTCAAAACAACCACTACAATGACACTAAAACTGCTGTAATCAAAAAGCTGTGTGTTTCTGTTTTTCTTACTTGAAGGCTAGTAAATTCTTCACGACTGGTGTTATCACCATCATCAACTATATTATAGAGCTTATTTAGTGATTTTTCTTAGAAAATTGGGACATTATACCTTTTAATCTTACATAAGCTAACTTTAAAGTCTGTTAATATCTTAGTTCACCCATTTGACTTTTGATGTTAATTTTAATTTGGTCAGATTTTACATTTATTTTGATACAACACTTTAAAGAATTTTATTTGCAAATGAGCTAGAGAAGCTCCTTCATCCTTTGAATTTGTGCTATTGAACACAAAGGAGACATAAAAGGAAAGATACCTCTAGGTAGAGAGAGTAGGTCTGTCCTCATACCAGATTGACAGCTCAGAATATCTGCAGATGATGGGGCACACGTGTCATCTGTGTAAATGGTAACGCACCATTATTTTGCTGTAGTGGTTCTAAACAGTGATAGTGTATGATATCCTGGATCAGTGCTTCTCATGTTTTTCTGCTAAGATATCCCTGATGGTAGAGAACAGTGAACTTGTATCTGAAAGGTCTGGACAGAGGGTAGAGTAGCTGAGTGATTATCTGAATTGTTTTTGAAATCTCAGTTTTTAACCTTAAGAATTCACTTAGATTTTGTTTGCTACTGCATAATCTATCTTTCATATTTAAAAAAAAAAAGGCTCCTGGAAGGCGTGTGATGTGGATGGCTTCTTCTGTTTCTGAACACACCACGGCTCCTTGAGGTTCTTACCCCTGTTGAGTGGTGCTGTCCATGCTTCTGTCAGCAAGGAGTTCATGCACTGGGAGACTCAATAGGAGTCACATAGTTGTGTCTAATCACTGTCTGGCCATCTATCCTCTTCTCCCATTTCCCCCCCTAAAGTTTTCACTCAGATGCAATGAGCCTAGTTTTTTCCCTCATTTGTTGTTGTTGTTTTTGAGGAATTGTTGAAAAGAAGCATTCAGAAGCTTTTCTGATTCATAAAATTTCTGTACTTGCAATACTAATATGTAATAGTGATTTTTTCCCCTAGGAAGAGGCTTTTCAGGTGTCTCAGTATTTAAATGATTTTAAAGGGTGACCTAAAAAAAATTTTGAATATGTTTTGATATCACTTATCTTAATGAATTATTTTTGCCTTATTGTGACTTTATGTGTTGGTACCACTTGCCTTATTGAAATAGAGTCTTTTGGAAACAACTCAAAGATGGTTTCCTTGGTAGAGTGAAATTAAAATCATCTTTAAGCAAAATTTATTTAAATGTATATGTTAGGTTATGTTTTCTAATGTAAAATTGTTGATTTTAAGGTATTTTTGACGAACTCTGCAAACGTCTTTTTGTTGGAACCGTGTGCTGAAGTTCCTGTGCTCTTGAAAGAACAAGTTGATGCTTGTAAAGCTGTTTTGATTATTTTTAGGCGCATAATAATGGAGCTTACGATGAATAAAAAGACATGGTAAGTTTATATCAAATTAATTAGTATTGTAAAACAGATGTTTTTGTTTTTCAACATAATTAAAATGTTAAGGAGTTCATTTATTTAATGGTTTTACAAAGTCAACAATAAAATGTCTTTTGTAACAGTTTCTGTGAATTATGAAGGAGGTAGTTGCCCAGTACTTGGATAGGTCAATTATTTTCATTATTGTTTTTAAAAATATTCTTGAACAGTAAGCAGTTATTTTGCTTAATACTGGATTTCTCCATTTTAAACTTTCATCAAACATAGTTTTATGGAAAAGCAGTAACTGGTGTTTCTAATATTCATCATAAGCTCAGGAGAATGTTAATTGCCCTGAAATGCTGTCATCTGATTTTTATTGCTTCAGACTTGATGTTTTAGATTCATTTTGGAAAAACAATTCTTTTAAATGTTATATTATCAGATACTAAATACATAGTGCAGTCAAAAATATGTTCCTGTCATTAAAACTACAAATGTTGTTCTTTTTATCTTCGTTTTTGTTCGGTGTTTTTATTTATTATGTCCCTACAGGTAAACAATGCATTAGATTTTTTTTCCTGCTCTTCTCTTATTTGAAAGTAATCACATTACTCCATCTGATGAGGTACTTTCAGTATGCTCAGCAGACCAGAAAGCCTCAGAGTCACTTACCATTCCTTCCTCTTCTCCTCGTGTGTCATCAGCCTCACTTCTGCCTTTAAAATGCTTCTCAAGCCTGTCCTTTGCGTGTTCCCTCTTGTTCTACTACTGCCCTTGAGCAGTCAAGCTGCCCACCCGGCTGTAGTCAGCATCCCCCTGGGTGATCTTCTGCCTTGGCTGCCGGTCCTTGGAGGCCCTGCAGACCAGTGGCACCTTCCCTACCTGAAACCAGAGGGGTCCTTTGCCCACGCCTATATTCTGGAGGTCCTTGAGTCAGCAGGAAAGGGGCTTTGGAAAGTGTCTGCAGTTGGTGGGAAACCATGGACGCGATGCAGGTCTGATCTGAAAGGAACTGCAGACCACCAAGTCCAATTCTTTTTCTTCAAAGATGACGGAAGGGTGGGCTCAAGAATCCTGGTGTGCAGAAAGTTCACAAAACCAAGAAACCGCAGCCATCAAAATGATACTATGATGTGGATTCTGTCATCTTTCCCAGACTTCTGACTTGGCACTATTTGCCAAGTTAAGCAGTTGTTAAAACGAAGTACAGCAGTGATGCACAATATAATGTAAACAAAGTTAAATTCCACATCAGTAATGTTGTCAGTAATGTTGACAGTAATGAGAAATGCTGGTGTATGCTTTCAACTGAAATGTCTGTTCTTCAATACCATATAGTTTTATCAATGTTATTTCTAATGTCTTTTCCTTTGAAAACTCCCTGAATTCTATATACCACTGTTGTCAGTGATATTTTTGATAATCTTTTTATTTTGGTGAAAATTCTAGGAAATAAAATTAAGTAATTCTGTTTTTTACTAATTCATAGTTACCTAGGTAAACATATAGAAAAGAAAAAATTATAGAAATCAATGAAAATAACAGGAAAATGGTCAGTAGAGCATAGAAAGGAATGTGAGCAGTTTCTCTAAAAGATTTTCTTGTGTATTTAAGTACGAGAAAATGTCTTGCCTCCCATTCCTCCTTTCCTTCCTCACTCCCTTTTCTCCCCATCTCTCCTTACCTTCTTCTCCTCCATCTAATAAATAACTATCAAGCTTCTACTATGAGAATATAGTGGTAAACTATGTAGACAAGAACTATGTAGACAAGGTCCCTGCCCTTATGAGGTTACATTCTCATAGGACTGAGAAACATTAAAAACCTAGAAAACAATTTCAGAAAATCCGAAGTGCTGAGAACAGTGAAGGCTGGAAAGGGCAAAGAGTCCCGAATTGGGTGTGTGGATTGCTTGGCATGGAGGGAGGGGGAGTTATTTCTGTCAGTTGTCAGAGAAGGCCTTTCTGAGCAGAGCCCTGAGTGAAGGGAAGAAGGAGCCTTGGGGAGGTCTAAGGGAAGGGCATTCCTGATAGAAAGAACAGATGCAAAAGCCCTGATGGGAGAAAAGGTAAAAGAAAAGTGGCTTGTTTAAGGAAGGACAAGATGATGGACAGTGTGGTGGAGTGGATGTAGTAAGAGGGAGAATGGGGGTTGGAGGGGGAAGGCCAGGGCCAGGTTGCTCAGGACCCTACAGACCAAAGAAAGGACACCAGCTACCTCTCTGTGTATGTGCAAGAGTATGACATAATAAAATTTACATTTCTGAAAGGCCCCCTCTGGCTGCTGGAGAACATGCAGTGGAGTGCCATAGATGATGATGGCTGAGACCAGGGCTGTAGCCAGGGAACTGTAAGAAGTGGTCCTGAAATAGAGAATAACTGGTATGTAAATGAGTCAGAATGTCACCTGTATGAGGAGATAGAGATCAGGTAAATAATGAAGAATGTAGGAAAACCCTCACTCCTGTGTTGGACCCAAGGATGGCACATGTGCCTGATTCCATGTGCTCTAACAGAAGTTTGATACACTCTTTGAGCAGTTTTCTCGGAGAAGTTAGTGTTTCACAAAATAGAAAGGACCAAGTAGTTATCAACACTGGCAGCTTTGGCGGGTTGTGAATCTTTCTACCATTAGGAAAGAGTTTTCCAAACTGTAGTTTTTCCACCCTCATTTTTTTCCGGAAAACTCAGCATGGGAATTTTATGCCTTTCCAAGCTTTCATAGGTTCAAAAATCGACTTACTGTGTTTTTGTCAGTCATGGCCTTGGTCACATTTGTAGCTTTTGATAGCAGTTGCCATGATCAAGGTTTTACTTGAAATTTATGATGTCTGCTGTTCTCATCACATTCTCATGATATGTATGTAACTAGTTCTATGCAAGGGATTGTTTTTCATTGTCTTAGGCATCATGTAACATGAATAGGCAGTGGTGATACTGGGTGCTGTCCTCCTTTCCCCCAGCGGCAGGGGCCTGGGTACCCTGAATGTGGTAAGCAACAGGCTCTCCTCACACTGTGCCATTTCTTCTCCCAGTGCTCTTCAAAGTCACTGTCCTACTTCATACATGTGTGCCCAGAAGATAGCCCTTCCTCTTCTGCGCTTTCAGAATCCATAGGCAGGGAATAGGAACACACAGACAAGTAGCATGGAGTGCAGTGAGAATGTATGCCACCAGATGACTCTGGGCACCCACTACAGAGAGGAGGAAATCCCTACAGGTGATTTTACTACGAGGAATTTTATTAGGTTCAGCATCATATATTGTTAAGAGAAAATGTTCTTCTGATATGCGGAGATATGAGAAAAGTATACAGAAACTATGATTTAGAGATCTCATCTGATGACTTTGTCCTATTCTCAGTTTTATTACTGAAGAACGGTAAAGCCAAGGAGAAAGTGGTAAAGATTAGATGAATGGTTAGCATGTGAAACCTGAAAGGAACCAGAGTGATTTCCTTTGGAGAACAAGTGCACCTCTCTTACATATGAAAGATAATGTGTTCTCTGTTCTCATGGAATCCAGGGAAAGAAAAAGTGAGCAGATACTCTGATATGTGCAATATAACTTAGGTGTAAGAAAGGAAAATGTCTTTTGGCTGTTCTGAAGAACGTACTGTGATTAGCAGTGTTATGTTGTCTCTATACTGTTTTATAGTCTTCAAAGTCCTTTTACATAAAACCACCTGTGAGAGAATACAAAAATGCGGGCACATTGGAACTGAGCTGCAGTGATGACATTTGTTCCAGTTGTGCCCTGTAGCTCATAGTCAGGATCTTCCAGACACAAGCACTGTGCCTGTAGGTGTCCTGTAATGCAAACCCCTCCTGCCTGTGAGAGTACTGTGGCATTCGCCATACCAAGATACTGACTGCATATGTCCCCAAAATAAAGACCAGAAAGTCAAGTTCATTTCCTGTTGCAAAGATAGGGAGACCTTATGGGTTAAATAAAACAATTTATAGCAAAATTAAAGAGTGCTGTGTACATTCCAGTATGTTTTCATTGAGTATCTTTAAGGTGCAGGCACAGTTGGAGAAGACAATCTTGCCTCCCTTTTTGCAGGAAGAAAAAATCAGGCTGGAATGATATGTTTTATCCTGCCTGTTTGTGTGGACATGGGAGGCGTATTTTTATAACTGTTATAACATAAGGGAGCTTATTTTGATAAAAATATGATATTCATTATGTAATTGGCATCTGGGCTTTAATAGTTTTGAGTAATATATGATTATCAATGTTGCTGAATTCTTAAGAGATTTCTAATATCTATAAAGTGCTTTGGAGATGTGATTATTAATATGAGCTTTTATTTTGGGTGGCCCAGGGAACAGATGTTGCAAATACTACTCAGGATAACAGAAGCTGTCATGCAGAAGCCAAAGGATAAACAAATAAAGAACTTGTTTGCCCAGAGCTTGGCAGGGTTACTATTTAGGGTAAGTCTTTTTAATTAAAACACTGCAAACCCAAGAAGTGAATTAGATTTTATAGCAAACTAGTTTTAATTTTTCAGAATTTTAAGAGTAATATTAAATTTAAATTTCTAGAAATTTTCTTTCTTACCTTTGTCCTGAAGGTTATGATCTGTGCTTTACAATGAGTGCTGGGCTTTTAGACTTTTCTCCCTCTCTGCAGTTTACATCCTCTTTTGATTTGCTCAAGGGTGGTAGGAATGAGGAAGCTCTGATGGCCTTGGTGGAAGGCCAGGTAGATTTGGAGAGGTAAAGGATGAACAGAAGCATGGGAATGGGGTAAAAATTTAATAGCCATCAGTGTGTTGGGCAATTGTATTTAAAGCCACAGGATGGGCTTACCTAGAGAGGACAATCTCCACAGGTGATGGAAGAGATGCTGAGAAAGGGTGGCCAGTGAGTGAGGAGGAAAACCGGAGAAATGTGTATCCTGGGTGCCTGGGGATGAGTATTGGGTAGGAGGAGAGCAGCCAGTTGACCATGGGCTTTGACAGAGGTGAGTGGTTGAGAATGTTCTATGGGGATGAGGCCCACCTGGAATAGATAGAGAAGAAAATGAGAGCTGGACAGTGGGAGTTGCAAGCATAGCGAAGGCTTTGCAGAGTTCTTAATGTGGAAAGAGGGTAAAGGGGAGCTAGCTGAAGTCAGTGGCATGTATAGCGGGTGAGGTTTAAGGTGGGTAGTACTAAAGTATGTTTGCTTACCAATGGGATGGTCCTGTGAAGGGGACAAGATGGTCTGGGAGAGACAGAGGATAACTGTAGAAGTGAAGTCCCGGATATGGATATGGTAGAGGATTGGGCCAGTCTTTGGTGTGAGCAGAGAGCCAAGGAGACAGCTGTGCTTTTTGCATCTCACGTGGTGAGCACGTCAAGATCATGAGCAGACTGATACCTGGTGAGCTGCATGGGGAAGAGGATGTGCCAGAGGGTCCTGAGCATGGGAACCTTAGGTTTGAAGCATTACTGAAAGAAAACGGTGTGAAAGGGCTCAGGAAAAATGCAACATTCTACCTAAATAAAGGTATTGGTATAGTGGGTGGACTTGACTTTGGATAATTCCACAGGTGATAGTTGCAGAGAAGAGAAACTAACTTCCCTCCTCAGTTGACCTGAAGGTGGTTTTAGAGGATATATATTAAAAGCGTACCTAGAATACAGGTGGGACATGTAGGTAAAAGTAACAAAAGGAGAAATTATTTTTTTAAAGCTAAGTGTTGCCATTGTAACACAAGAGAACTCAACTATTAATTTTGAATAACTTAATATGATTCAATGCTCTTTGCTTGATAAAAAAAAATGTATGAGAGGCTATTGAAATAATTGGCCTCCTAAATATTAGAATTGCTTTAACTCTGATTGCCTTGCCTTGTATGTTGGATGTGTGAAGTGGCCCTAAACATTCTTTTGCATGTGTCCAGCTTTGCTCTGCTGATGCCTGGAGGGTGGTACTGACCACTGCTTTGCTGCCTGCCTGGACATACCGACACTGCTCACTTTGCTGTCTCAGCGAAATGTCTCACTGTTGGCACCCTTTCAGGCTCCCCGTCCTGGACCTGTGTTACGAAGTAGACATGAGCCGAAGCCAGTCTCACACTGGCAGGTGCTTGGGCCTCATTCCCACCAACTGCCTGGCCCTGAATCTGTTTTGTGTGTCAGAATTAGAGAAATTGTCACAGAATTAAACAAGAATCTATTCTGGGGTTTGTTTTGTTTTGGTTTGGTTTTGGTTGGTTTTAGTCTTTGGGGAGGGAAAAAAACTCCCCTCATGAATGGAGAAAACCTTATCAGATATTACTTGAAGCTTAGTTTTGAGTTCATGATTACTACTGATTTTGATGTTGTTATTTTGGAAGTGGTTGGGTAGATCAAGAATGATGCTTAAATTAAGAACTAACCATAAGGCTTGGCCTGGTGGCTCACACCTGTAATATCAGCACTTTGGGAGGCTGAGGCAGGAGGATTGCTTGAGCCCAGGAGTTCAAAACCAGCCTGGGCAGTAGAGTAAGACCCTATCTCTACAAAAATTTTTTTAAAAATTAGCTGGCTATAGTGGCATACACCTGAAGTTTCAGTGACTTGGGAGCTGAGGTGGGAAAATTGCTTGAACCTGGGAGGTTGAGGCTAAAAGTGAGCTATGACTGCAACGCTGTACTGCAGCCTGGTCAAAAGAGTGAGACCCTGTCTCAAAAACAAAAAACAAACAAACAAACAAAAAACCTACCATGAAAAACAGTGAAGAGAGGATGAGCTTTTTGGCATTAGGCAGATTGTGCTTCTCATCTCAGCTCTACTACTCCCTGGCTATGTGGCCTTGAGCACATGACTTCAACTTTCTGAGTGTCTTCCCTAATCTGTCACAATCAGGAAAGGACTTCTTTCTACCTGCAGGGTTGTTATGAGAATCAGAGTCGGTCCAGTGGGATTTGTGATCATCTGTTGACCTCCCACGTTCTCATGTGAGATGGAAGAGGCGAGAATAGTAAAGGTCTGGACTTACCAGGCAGGCTGTCTCTTGGGCATCGTCCTTGGTCCCATAATGCAGTTAAAACATGCTGTCTAATTAGTATTCATTTGGTCATGTGGACTGTCTAAAATGGCCAGACACTTGATTTTTTTGAAAAACTTATAACCAGGAGACTGTGAAAAGGGACAGGACATTTTAAGTTTTTATTACCCTTTTTATCTTTTTCTAGTTATTCTTCTAGTATTTGTTTGTGTTTGTTTTTGTTTTTTTCCTCTCTTAGTAGATAATCTGGGTCAACAAATTTTCTTTAAGTGATGATTGAATTTGACTTAGTTTTAACTATTTACCAAATAATGATGGTTGCCCTGAGTGGTGTTTTAATTTATTATCAGTGCTAAATATGACCTTATGCTTGAAGCTCCAGTGGTATATCAGGAAACTATGGCCCTGCTATTTGTAATATTAGCCATGACTTTAAAGTTATGCAGTTCCCTTAATGTGTTGGTAGAGTGCAGTAGGAAGTGGTTGGTTAGCAAATGTTCATAAGAAAAGGAGTGATTTATGAGTCAAGGTGTTTTTAAAGTATGTCTCACATGCCAAGATGTATCTGATAAAACATGAATTTCAGTGCTGAAGAAACCTTGGAAAAGCTCTTATGGAACTCTTACTTTAAATGGGAAATGTGACTACAGAAAGGCTAAGTGACTTTCCTAGGTCACAAACCAGGGTAGTATAGAAAGAAGAGTCCAGTCTGTTTGTTTTCCTCTTCCTTTTAGAAAATGGTAATTGATTAAAAGGATACCCTGCCTTCATGTCTACAGGTGCCACCACTCACCACCCAACTATATTTTATCATTTTACCATTTTGTTCTGTGCAAGTGTTGTCAGTTGTGAATTATGATGATAATTCAACAGGCCTGCATACATGTTTGTAATATTTGCTAAGTTGAGTTACAAGCTGCAAGCAGTCGTTCTGTCCTTGTTTTATAATTAGTCAATGGAGTGAAGCCATCACAAGATCCCCAGTATAGAGCATCTCATTACAGCAAGGCATCTGCTTTTGTCCACGGAGCTAACACTATATCCAACTGCGAGTCTGAGTCCTAATAGCATTATCAGTCTCTACTTTCTCCTCTTACTCAGCTCAGATTATAGTTTGATCTAATACTTATTAATTTTATTGTATATATGTACTTTATGGCAATGGCCTCAAATTCATCTTGAAAGCAGGGGTGTAAAAATTAATAGAAGATGACATTTTAGTTATAGTAAAAATATTTAATAAAGATTAATAAAATTATTTTCTTTCATATTTTTAATTTTATAAAATTCATACATGTTAGAATCAGATTTTAAATATGTGGTTAATATCTTGTTTTTGATATAATTAACTACTTGAGTCCTACTTTAACATTTTTTATTTTTTAAAAAAGTAGTAAACACAAATTGAAACATAGATAACAGGTGTATTACAGAAGGACCACTTTAAATAAGATTTTCAAAGTGGTCAGAACAGGCCTGCCTGATTTTATAGACCGATTTCTGTTTATCAAAGTTTTCCTGTGTCTATGTTAAAGAAAAAATTCTATTAAAAAGTCTGTATATAATTTGGGGGAAAAAATTAAAAAGTGAACTGACCTACACACAGGAATTCCTGACAAGAGTGGGAGCCTATTTGCATCTGGGTTGGGCCGATGCAAATGAAAACTGGCATCTTAACAACTGCATTTATCTTTGACAACATACTATAGGACTTACACAGACTTTGGGTATAAGGATTCCTTTTCACAAGCTTAGGAAAGCATTTGTGGCTCATTTGAGATGAACTTGGCTATGTAGAGGCACTTCTTCCAGGGAAGATATATTTGGATTTGAATTTTAAAGGATGGTGACTATTTTGGCAGAGGTAAGGAATGGGGCAATTTTAAGGGAAGGAAATATCCAGAATAGAAGCATAATTGTCTCATAGGGCTGCCCATGTGACCAGTTGTAGTGTTGTAGACTGTAAGACTGGGGGTAGACACTGATAAGTGAATAGACTGTGAAGGAAAGGCACAATTGATGCAGGGGAAATGCAGGGACCTGGAGGATACTTCCTGGAGGCTGGAAGGTGGTGGTGGTGGTGAGGAGATAGTCAGGGATACCTTCTTGGAGGAAGTGATATACAAATTTTTACCTGAGAAATGAGTGGAAATTACAGAAACAAACAGGAGGAAAGAGAGAGAAGTAAGAGTATGTGTAGAGGCCAGTTGCAGGAGCGAGCAGGTGGAGGAACTGGGAGAATGTCCATGGAAGAAATGGAATACCTTTTACTCTTGTGCTGTACTGTAGGTGCCTGAGGGTTGTGTAAGCAGCACTGTCTAGTACATAGGTAGATAGATCAGGAAACCAGTACAGAGATCTGAGCTGTACATAGAGATCCAGAAGTCAGTAGCACACAGAGGTTAACTGGAGCCATGGGAATGGAGCTGAAACCCAGGCAGAAGGTAACGTGGCCTCAGAAAGAGGAGGGCCAGAGCAGTCTGTTGCCTGGGGGATGGGGAAGTGGAGATGGAGTGGGCATAGAACTTTCTTTCAAGAAACTTGCCTATGAAAGGGGATGGAAAAGGGCTGTAGCAAGATGGGGGAATCTGGGTTCAAGGGAATTTTTTCTTTTAAGATGAGGAAGAATTTGGAGAGTATTTAAATGCTAATCAGAAAGAGCTGCATAAGTGGGATTGGCTGGAGATAAAGGAGTGGGTCAGTTAAGAGAGGCATGAAGGCTCCGAGGAAGGGATCCAGAGCATAAGAGGGCACGAGGGAAGCAGAGCAGAGGCCCCTCTTGGAGTTCAGCCCACAGGTGGAGGAGGAGCTGGGCGAATGTGGGCAAGAGTGTGAGTCCATGGGCAGAGGTTGAGGGGAGTCTCATTGAATGGGTTCTCTTTCCTGTGAAGTCTGCAGTTGAGTCCATCTGCTCAAAGGCAGGGAGGAATTGGTGGGCTGGAGGTTGTCCTGTAGAGGAGGCAGGCTGAAGTAGCCACTGTGGATGGTAGGAAAAGAGCAGTCTCAGGAAGCAGAGTTGTCACTGTGCGGAGGGCTTTGTCTTCTCCCTGATTATAGCCAGGGCCAGCCACAGACGTAGAATAATATCGAATCAGTAACTTTGTTCATAGTGATAACTAACTTCTCAGTAGCTTAAATCTTGATTATAGTTTGTCAAATGAATTTTGAAAATTAAAAACAACTTCAAAAAATGCTTTTAATTTTACAATTAGTATTATTAATAGTAATTTAAAACATTTTGTTTAAAAGTGTACTTCTTTCAAACGAAGATGACTGAATTCTCTTGTGGGTTGGTTGGTTTTAGACACTCATGGTGGCTTGGATCCGAGCAAACCTCTGTGTGTACATTTCTCGAGAGCTCTGGGATGACTTTCTTGGTGTGCTGTCCTCCCTCACGGAATGGGAGGAGCTTATAAACGAGTGGGCCAACATTATGGACTCCTTGACAGCAGTGCTTGCAAGAACCGTTTATGGAGTTGAGATGACAAACCTACCTCTGGATAAATTAAGTGAACAAAAGGAAAAGAAGCAACGAGGCAAAGGTATTTCCACTCTTCCAGGTTAACACCATATGTCTAGGACTGGGGACGAATGTGTATTTGTATGACTCAGCAATTTATGCCTGAAATTTTATCATGAAGAACCAGCTACATGGTGTCTTCTTATAGTGCATTAATTTGTGTCTAATATTCTGTTCCCTTAATGAGGTAGTGAATTTCTGAGGAGGCTATGCAAGAAGGAAGATGAGTACTAGTAATAGTAGTGATAGTTAACAGTAATAAGGGCTATTACATTGTACATATCATCTCCCTTTCCCGTCATAATAACCTAGAGAACTGTAGGTGCTTGTATTATCCCCATATCACAGACAGAGCAACTGAAGTACAGAGACTTTGCAGGGACATCCAATCCTTTGGCTTCTCCGGGCCACATTGGAAGAATTGTCTTGGGCCACACATGAACTACACTAAAACTAACAATAGCTGATGAGCTAAAACAAAAAAAAAATTGCAAAAAAAATCTCAGATTGTTTTAAGAAAGTTTACAAATTTGTGTTGGGCTGCATTCCAAGCCACTCTGGGCTGCATTTGGTCCATGGGTCACGGGTTTTGGACAAGGTTGCTTTACAGTGATTGACTCACCCAGGTCCACATGGTTAAGAAGTAGTAAAGCCAGAAATCAGAGCTGGATAAGTACAACTCACGATGTAAGGCTGTTAAGATGCATTCTCCAGCCGCTCTAGGAAATGTGGAGAAATTCTGAATGCTTCACATAGGAGCTATTTTGGCTTTGTATTTCTGGGTAAAAGTTGTTTTGGGACCGAGAACCTCAAATGAAACTGATGTTTTCAAGGTAGTAAAATGTCAGTGGTAGTTTCTGTTAGGAATGACAATTTGGCATCCCCTTGTCTTAATTGCTATTCTTAAGGAAGTGGCATGGTCCTTGGATTAATTCACTGGTACTCCACCTTACTCTGTAAAGATCTGAGGCAGCTCATAGAAAGGCATATAGTACAGTAAACCAAATACAAAATAGAGTCAAAATGAGTGGGGTTGCAGAGAGCTGCCAGTATGGTTAAGATGCAAAATGCATGCCATAGAGCCTCATGGGCTTGCTGGGGAGGTGCAATAGTCAAACACTGGATTTGATTTTGGTCTTTGCAGGGTTACATCAAATAGAGAATCACAGAGCACATAGGGTAAAACAATTCACTCACCTAGGTGTTGCATAGATTTTATTAGGTCCTCCTAAGACTTGGGAGGAAGTTTTCTTTCAAAGCCTCATAAAGAATACACATTGCTTATTGCATAGACTACCCTTTAGGAATGCCAGCCTTATTATAGATTATATCAGTGTGACTTTGCCATGTGACAAATCTCCCAAAACTTAGTGGCTTAAAATAACCACTTATTTATCTTGATTTGATGAGTTGGCGATTTGGGTGGGACTCAGCAGGTCAGTTCTTCTGCTAGTCTTTGCTTCTGTGTTTGCAGTCAGTGAGGCTGTGAAATAGCCAGGCAGCTCTATTTTTAGGGGTTGCCTGGCTGTCAGCAGGGGCAGTGAGGTGTGACTGGGTTACATGTTACAGCAGCCAGAGGCTAGCTCAGCCTTGTTTACTGAGTAGCTTAGAGTTTCAGGAGCAGCAAGAGGGTAAGCTCAAATTTTCAAGGGCATTTCAAGTCTCCGCTTGTTCAGTTTTGCTACCAAAGTAAGTCACGTGATGAAGCCTAACATCAGTATGGGAGAGGATAACAGAGGAGGTGGTTACGGGGAGGTGTGAACCAGGTACAGTGGTTAGTAAACCATATACATGTGTAATAAATATGACAGATTCTTATAATATCTTCGTTGAATTCTGAGAATGGCTTGCCAAAGCACTAATTAATAAAAGCAAGTTAGTTAGAAGACAAAATAAAGTAGTTGAAGTATATGGCAATTCAGTTGAACAGTTTAATCCCAATGTGGATTTAGATTGTCTTAATGCAATCATTTTCTAACATTTTTACCAGACCTTTTTTTTCTCCCCAGTTGAAGTTATACAGAACCCATTTATAAAGAAATATATTAGAATGGAGATTTGGGATTGAAGAAAGGGCAGGGAGCCAAGAGCCTGGGCCCTTGGCCTCCATTTAGTCCTCTCTAACACCTCTGAGGACCTCTGTGTAAACCCAGGGCTTGAGAGGATCCAGACACTTCCAACTAGGTATTTGGTTACCTAAGACAGTGGTTCTCAGCCGAGAAGAGAACCTGCCTAGCTAAGGGTGTGCCTTTCAGGCTGGAGGAGGAGAGCTGTAATAGGAGATAAGGATCTACCTTCAGTTTTTGTAATCTATGCACAAGCACATGTGTAGACACACACACACACACACACACACACACACACACACCCCTACCTGCCATTCTGCAATATTCTCGACACACACACATACACAGACACACGCGTGCGCCATTCTGCAATATTCTCTTCCTACCCACAGATTCATCTGAAGAATACACTTGTGTTAGGAAGGCAAACAACTTCGAAAACACTGTTTTCGAAATGTACTGAACCAATTATTTAATTAATGACAGCAACTAATATTTCTGATTTATATTGTTCTAAAAAGGATTTAAATATTTATTATAGAAGTGCTTACCTTCTAAGAGCTAGACTACTAGAAACAAAAAGCACAGGCAGAGGAAACTGGGTGTGGGAAACATGCCACAGGTGGCAGTCACTGGCCACATCATCCCTGTGCAGAAATCTCTATGTCTCTCATTCTCTTTCCTCCTCTATTTGTTTTGGATCTGTAACCTCTCATTGAGATAATTAAACCAGAACAATATGAGAAAAAAGAAAAGTTGAATTTCACACTATAATGTTTTATTGTTTTGGACCTTTGCTAAAATAGGATATTGTATTGTTTCGAGATTTTCATTATCCTGCCCATTTGACTGAATCCATATTGGAGTTTTAGGCAGGGACTGCTCTGGGGATTTGTGGAGGGGTTGGTGCCTACAGGATGCAGTACTATTCTAACATCAGGATCTCTGAGTTTTTGGTTTATAAGTTGTGGTTTTTGGAGTGTCCTGGGAACAGTGGTATAACTTCATATATTTTTCTTGTATTGAGAAAGGTTTATTAATATTTCTTTTGTATATTGGAGTCAGTACCATGAAGATATAATATTCATAAGACTATTTTAGATTCTTGAAAATATTTTGGCAACAAGAATTCTTAGATTAGTGACATATGAATAACTTCCTAAATTGCAGTGTAAAGAAGTGGCACTTAGTTTGTGACAAAGAAACCTACTGATTATATATAGTTGTATATATGCCATTTGCTGAGCAACACAAGCTATGAAATGAATAATAATGAATTCAGCCATTAGATTATTTTTCTTATCCTTTATCAGGCTGTGTTCTAGATCCTCAGAAAGGAACCACTGTGGGGAGATCCTTTTCTCTCAGCTGGCGGAGCCACCCAGATGTGACCGAGCCTATGCGATTTAGGAGTGCCACCACGTCTGGAGCACCGGGAGTGGAGAAGGCGAGAAATATTGTTCGCCAAAAAGCAACTGGTATGCATTTATTTAAATGCTTCTCAAAAATCTAGTTGTTATCTAAAATGAATTTATAGGCATAAAGTGTGTTAAAATTCTACTCAAAATTTAAATATTAGACCTTGTATTAAATGAAATGTGTCTATATCTTTTTAGCTTTCAGCTCTAGTTACTTTTCAAATTGCAGTTTTCAGTTATTTATTTCTAAATTTTCCAGTGTGAAAAAGAACTTCTGATGTTAATATTGAGTGAGATATTTGTGCAAAATGGAGAAAATGGAGTTTTTGTTTGAACCTTGAAGAAAACAGATTGTTATTAAACACACCAGTTGTTGCATTATTGTTAATATTAAACAATATTGATCTTTAGAGTGTGGCAACCTGTTTGAGCAAAGAATAGGAAAATCGTACACTTTAGTTTTCAGGACTGGATAGACATTTCATATTTTGCTCCTTTGGAAAATCGAGTCTTTTCATGCCTGTGGATATTATATGGTATAACATTTAGCCTATTTCATGTAGCCTATTTCAATTTACAAGAACTTGACCAACAACCCCAGTTAATTGGACAACTTTGCTACATTTTACTCTTAAAACAAAAAGTGAACTCTCGAAAAAGAAGCTTGTATACAGCATTTAATAAGAACAAATAAAGCCACCTCCTTCCAGTGACTTCGAACCTGTAACTTAGGTTTAAGACAATTTTAATTGCTATTTAGCATGTTGACTTAAGAAAGTCACAAGATCCTCTGGCCATAAAACAAAGATTCATTAAAGCTCAACCTATTCTATAGTGCTTAGTAAAAGCTTAATACAGATGGTTTAGAATCCTGTTGGAGTTTTTATGAAAATATATTCCACCTTAACTGTAACTCTCATCCTTTTCTGCTGTAGTATTTGCTGGAAATTATCACCTTATTTGCAGGCATGGCCTATTCTGCTTCTCCTTTCTTCTGTCACTCTCTCCCCTGAGGAGAGACCCAATTCCTGATTAACAGGCAACTGTTGAGGATGTTCATTCACTGATTTCGTTTCTCATTCCAATTCCTAAAAACAATTTTCTTCTATCATTAGAGTCTTTTTTTTTTTTTTTGAGTTGGAGTCTTGTGCCATCCCCCAGGCTCAAGTGCAGTGGTACAATCTCAGCTCACTGCAACCTCTGCTTCCCAGATTCAAGCGATTCTCCTGCCTCAGCCTCCCAGGTAGCTGAGACTACAGGTGTGCACTACTACGCCAGGCTAATTTTTTTTTTTTTTTTTTCAGTAGAGATGGGCCATGTTGAGACCATATTGGCCAGGCTGGTCTCAAACTTCTTACCTCAGGTGATCTGCCTGCCTCTGCTTCTCAAAGTACTGGGATTACAGGAGTGAGCCACCATGCCCAGCCTTTCTATCATTGGATTCTTTTTTTTTCTTTTTTGAGATAGAGTCTCGCTCTATTACCTAGGCTGAAGTGCAGTGGTGAGATCTTGGCTCATTGCAACCTCCGCCTCCCAGGTTCAAGTGATTCTCCCACTTAAGCTTTCCAAGTAGCTGGGATTACAGGTGTGCACCACCATGCGCAGCTAATTTTTTATTTTTAGGAGAAATGGTGTTTCACTATGTTGGTCAGTCTGGTCTTAACTCCTGACCTCAGGTGATTTGCCCGCCTTCGCCTCCCAAAGTGCTGGGATTATAGGCGTGAGCCACCACACCCAGCCTACTGGGAATTCTTATAGGCAAAGGGTAGGGGAAAGGACAGTAGGATAAAAAGTTTGTTTCAGTTTTTGCAAATGTGTCACTATCATTTGTGTCCATTTCATTAATGTTAACTGAAGTCACATAAAAATAGTAAAATGGCAAGTAAATCTTTATATTTTTATTTTAGGATAAAACTGATTTTGCTGATTGTGGTTTTACATATATGAAGCATGTTTTCCTCCTGTGTCCATTCAATTTCCCCAATGTTTATTTGACTAACAGTATATAGAACACATAAGAATACCATAAAGTTGACATTAAAGATGTATGGATTTCATAAGCATAAAATGTGACATAAAAGAATGGGTTTCATCGAGATTTTACCTTTTTCTCAAATACCAAATCTTTTAATGTTTAACTTGACTTGTATGTGTTCTTGAGCTTTTCAGATATTTAATTTACTAAACGATTTGCTTTTGAATACAGTCAGCTCTCAGGAAACCAGCTTCTGAAAGAAGGCCAGATATTCCCTCTTTCACCATGTTCTTTTTGTACATGTCCTTGAGGAAAGGAAAACTGACTATAATGTCTGTCAAATCAAATAACCCGAATGTGAATCTGATTCACAGCAGAAAGAAGGAAAGGCTAAACATATAAAGCATTTCAAAAGAAAATTATTTGTGGATTGCCCATTCTTCTATGTCATGAGGAGGACTGACTGAAAGTTGGCTGTATTTAGAGACTACAATTAAATACTATACTTTGTACTGACTTCCTTTAAAGTTTAAAAATGACTTCCTTTAAATGTTTAGAGAGAGCCCAGAAAAGTAATAATAATAAAGTGAAAGGTCCTATTGTTCTTCTGACATAATTATTACTTTATCTCTCCTGGAAGCTAAGCGAAGCCAGTCTATCAGCAACTGTGTCCACCTTTCTGAGGCTTTGCCTGCCACTAAAAGCGTCCCGCTCCTCCTTCACACCGTGAGCGCTCTCTTACCTGGTCTCTCTTACTCTTCTTGCTCTCACAGGCTGTCAGGTACTGTAATGCTGTCTCGTGTGTCCATCACTGTTCCCAGGCTTCTCCCGCTTGCCTCTGGGCCTCGCTTCCTTTGTTAATATGCTCACATCACACCTGTGCCTGACCATCACACTAGTGTTAAATTGCAGTGAATACTAGTAATTGTCTTTGTGTAGTTAGACGCTTAGTGGCAATTAGATAGTCAAGAAAAATTTCTGTGACTTTGGTCTTTGCAATAACAATTAAGGAGGATAGAAGGATTTTAAGTCCATAGCTTTTTAAAAGGGGGTAATGTGATGCCTGCCTTAGTGTGTCTTTATAGAGTGCCCATGGAAAGTAAGGGAATTTTCATAAACGTTTTGAACATGTCAGTATTAGAATGCTTGCTGTGTCTTCAAAAAAAAAAATGAATAAACTAGAAAAATTATGTAGGCAGGATCTATTTGGAGTTAATAAATCATATATGTGAAGTAATGATCAGTTATGTAGATTCATACTGACTATTGAAATTTGAGTGAAAAAGGACCAGTGCAAAAAAGCAATAATTTTCAAAACAAAGAAATGTCATTTCTGTACTTCGGCCAGTTAAAATTGAATTTAGCCATGTGTGATTGACACAGAGTACATTTTATTTAAGACATCATAGCACCAAGAGTCATTTTTAGCCTAGCTACTTCAACAGGATTTACCTTGCTCTATAGTGAACAATTAGGTCTATGTCTACTTATTTTGTGGTGATTCTAGGATGAACTGGATCTTCTTCCTAAAAAGAGAAAGATTGGGGCCGGGCGCGGTAGCTCACGCCTGTAATCCCAGCACTTTGGGAGGCCGAGACGGGTGGATCACGAGGTCAAGAGATCGAGACCATCCTAGTCAACATGGTGAAACCCCGTCTCTACTAAAAATACAAAAAATCAGCTGGGCATGGTGGCGCATGCCTGTAATCCCAGCTACTCAGGAGGCTGAGGCAGGAGAATTGCCTGAACCCAGGAGGCGGAGGTTGCGGTGAGCCAAGATCACGCCATTGCACTCCAGCCTGGGTAATAAACGTGAAACTCTGTCTCAAAAAAAAAGAGAGAGAGAAAGATCATTTTTATGATCTTTTTTAGTTTCAGAAATTTGTTTTTTTGAGACAGAGTCTTGCTTTGTTGCCCAGGCTGGAGTACAGTGGCCCAATCTTGGCTCACTGCAACCTATGCCTCCTGGGTTCAAGCAAGTCTCCTGCCTCAGCCTCTGAGTAGTTGGGACTACAGGCGTGTGCCACCAAATTGTTTAATTAAACATAATTTAGTGCTACTAAATTATGTTATACTGTGTTTTAACAAAGCAAAATTAAAGCTTAAGTCCTCTGCTGGCTATGTAAAATACCATATTACTTTATAGAATTTAAGGGAAGAAGTTAGTTTTACCAAGAGTGAGGACTATAATGTTTTTTAGAAAACTCTTTTTCTCCAGTAACTATTGAAGGTAAAAAAAAACAGTAAGAATGGTACATAGGAAAATTGTCACTAGTCAGTTAAATTAGTGTTGAGTTTTAACTGCCCGATTATTTGGTTTTCAAAAAAGCTATTTAGAGATGATTAATAAAGTATTTAAAATGATTTTACCTGCTGTTTGGCTGATATATACCCCAAAAGAATTTTTTTTGTGATGAAAAGTTTTCTTATGTCACAATCCATTTTTTTTCATATTCGGTTTCTCTTAAGTTTTTTACAGGTTTGTCCAAAACATGTTCCCACAAGAAATCTCTTCCTGTTAGTAATTTAATTTTGGAAGCTTTTGTTCTCATGCAGTATAACATTTTATTTTACTAAGACTCTTGGTTCCTGTGTATACATATACTACAGTTCCAACTGAAGTTAAATATGATTTGGAGAAGTGGCTCTCAACTGGCAACAATTTCAACAATGCCCGGAGACACTTTTAATTGTCACAAGTGGGACCGTGCTACTGGCAGCTAGTGGGTAGAAGTCAACTATTGATGCTGCCGAGTAGCCTGCAATGCACAGAACAGCTCCCAAACAGAGAATTGTCTGGCCCAGAATACCCACAGTGCTGAGGCTGAGAAATCCTATGTTAGAGTGGAATCAAGTGTCCTGGGCTTGGTCTGTAGTTACCTGCCTTTGCTATCTTTGTTCTTGATTTTGTAGCACAAGGGGTGAAAAGACTTCAGGGTATAGTGGCTTTGGGAACAACCTGCCATTCTCTGTTTTATCTGACTACTATGATGGTGAGCTTCTTAGCCTGATGGCATTGGTTCTTTACTGATTAAATTGATGCCTTTGTCCTTTGTGACTGTCCTGTCAAGAGACTGACCCAAGGGCAAATTGTATATTCTCTACTGGTTGGTACATTAAAGTATTGAATTTGTCTCCAGTTTAAACCCTAATGTGTAGGCATATCCTGCTAACCTACTGCTAGATAATAGGACACTTAAATTTGCTTTCTGGCCACAAGTTCCTACCCTGTCAGTGATTGATTGCTAATTTTGTTTACATTTAAGTTAACATTTTTTTTTGTCTTTATTTATCTATGTAACTAGTCAACCCAACAAAATTGTTTTAATAATATAAGCAATAGAGAATTACTTACTTTTAGCCACGATTGTATATTTTTCCGATCTTTTTGGGATTGTGTTTGGCAGCAGCAGCAGAATTTTGGGCAGGTTGTTTGTATTCTGGGAGGAAGAAGTGATGTTGTGTTTTGGAGTCACAACCACCTGTTTCCATTAATATGAATAGCTACATAAACACAGTTGGGGAGGTAGGACCGACAGTTTTTGTGATTTCCTTTTTTTTTCCTTCGTGAGAACAGTTCTTTCCAGCTGTTCTATACTCTTTTTTGTTTTTGAGACGGAGTCTCACTCTGTAGCCCAGGCTGGAGTGCAGTGGTGTGATCTTGGCTCTCTGCAACCTCCACCTTTCCGGTCCCAGTTCAAGCATTTCTTCTGCTTCAGCCTCCCAAGTAGCTGGGGTTACAGGTACATGCGACCATGTCCAGCTGATTTTTTGTGTTTTTAGTAGAGACCGGGTTTCACCATGTTGGCCAGGCTGGTCTTGAACTCCTGACATGGTGATCTGCCCGCCTCAGCCTCCCAAAGTGCTGTGAGTGCCTCTTCTACAATTTTAACTGCTTTTTAGGTTGGGACATTTTTCAGTCTGTAGCACTTAACAGGCCACACAGGTGGCAGATTTTATTTTTCTTTTAGGAATATTGTAATAGTAGTAATGAGAGGATCAACAATCTCCCCTTATGCTAAAAAGACATATTGGAACGGTATGGCAAACCTTGCCTCACTGCATCTGCATCTGGTTTACATACTTCCAGGAAGTGCTTTTATGTCAGGACCTGGTCTGATTTACCTTTGGGAAATTTGATCTTGTGGGAAACCTCAAGATACTGAGTTGATACGCATTTCCTATGCTTTTTATAGGATCAGACTGGTATCATGCAGGGTGTTTTAAAAATTAGGAAATTATGCTATTTATTTTGCTTATGCAACATTGTAAAAGGGAGAAATTAAACTCAGAAATTTGGTTATTGAAGAATGAGCCTCACTCCATTTAGTAAATGGAAGACTGATTAAGGAAGCCTTAAAAAGTGAGTGAAATTGCTGTGAAAAATAGAGATCTGGAAAAATATAGAAGTTACTGAAAAGCTTATACACTTAATTTGATCACACTGCATTTTCTTAATGGGAAGAAATGAAATTAGATCATTTTGAAGTGTTTTGAACGGAGCTTTAAAAAGTAATGATAGGGAGAGAGATCCAAGATGGCTGATCACTAACAGTTCGGGATTGTAGCTCTCAGTGAAAGCGCAGAGAACAAGAGGACGCCACACTTTCAGACAAATTTTCGTTGCTTACGGACCAGAAGATTCCCAGTGGAGGGGCCCCACGGGTCGCCAGCGTGACTGGCTGGCGCAGCGGTTTTGCTGGTGCCTCGTCGCGGCAGCTCCTCGTGCAGAGTAAACGGGAGGAGATTCCCGGGCATAAGAGCACCATCAGTCTTATCGCTGCTGTTTTGGCCGGCGCAGTGGGTTGTTCGGATTCCAGCGCTGGGAATCAATAAACTGGGCGTCCACTCAGAAACCCAACTAGAAAGGCGGTAATTGTAAAGACGACAGATGGATAAATTTATAACAAAGGGAAGAAACCAGCCTAAAAAGGCTGAGAATACCCAAAATCAGAACCCCTCTCCCTCTACAGGGGATTACAGTTCCTCATCACCAACGGAACAAGCCCTGATGGAAAAGGACTGTGTGCCATTATCAGAAGTAGGCTTCAGAAGGTGGATGATAAGAAACTTCTAGGAGTTAAAAGAACTTGTTCTAACCCAATGTAAAGAAAGTAAGAACTTTGAAAAAAGGTTTGATGAAATGCTAACAAGAATAGACAATATAGAGAGGAATATAAATGAACTAACAGAGTTGAAAAACACAACACAAAAACTTAGCAAAATATGCACAAGTTTGAATAGCTGAATTGATCAAGCAGAAGAAAGGATATCAGAGGTCGAAGACCTACTTAATGAAATAAAACAAGAAGACAAGAATAGAGAAAAAAGGATAAAAAGGAATGAGCAAAGTCTCCAAGAAATATGGGACTATGAGAAAAGACCTAATTTACGTTTGATAGGTGTACCTGAATACGACGAAGAGAATGAATCCAAGCTGGAAAATACTCTTCAGGATATTATTCAGGAAAACTTTCTGAATCTAGCAAAGCAGCACAATATTCAACCCCAGGTAATACAGAGAACACCACAAAGATGTTCCTCAAGAAGAGCAACCCCAAGCACATAATCGTTAGATTCACCAGGGTTGAAACGAAGGAGAAAATACTAAGGGCAGCCAGAGAAAAAGCTCAGGTTACCCACAAAGGGAAGCCTATCAGACTTACAGCAGAAACCCTACAAGCCAGAAGAGAGTGGGGGCCGATATTCAACATCCTTAAAGAACAGAACTTTCAGCCCAGAATTTCATATCCTGCCAAACTAAGCTTCACAATTGAAGGAAAAATAACATCTTTTATGAACAAGCAAGTACTCAGAGATTTTACCACCAGGCCGGCTTTACAAGAGCTTCTGAAAGAAGCATTATACATAGAAAGGAACAACTAGTATTAGCCTTTCTAAAAATATACCAAAAAGTAAAGAGCATCAACATAAAGAAGAATTTACATCAATGAATGGATAAAATAGCCAGTTAACATCAAATGGCAGTAATCCTAAATTTAAATCGACTAAATACCCCAATCAAACGATACAGCCAAAACCCTAACGATATATGCTACATCCAGACCCATTTCACATCCAAAGATACACAAAGACTTAAAACAAAGGGATGGAGAAAGATTTACCAACCAAATGGAGAGCAAAAATAAATAAATAAATAAATAAAAAGCAGGAGTTGCAATTCTCACATCTGATAAAATAGATTTCAAAGCAACAAAGATATAGTGGTAAAAGGATCAATGCAACAAGAAGAGCTAATGATCCTAACACCCAGATACATAAGACTCAGAAAGAGATTTAGACTCAACAAGGCAGAAAATTAATAAGGATATCCAGGACTTGAATTCATATTTGGAACAAGTAAACTCAATAAATATTTAAAGAACTCTCCATTTTAAATACACAAAATATACATTCTCCACCTTAAATACACAAAATACTGATCCGCCATTATTAATACCCATTTTTAGAATAAAGCAATATTCCTGTTCTCTCTCCCTCTTTTTCTTCCCCTTTCTTCCTCTCCTTCACTCTTTTTTTTTCTTTCTTTCAAAAAAAAAGACTGTGTGATAATTAAAAAAAAAGAAAGTAATGGTTTAGAAATGATATTGTGAAACTTACATTGTCAAGAGACGAGGAAGTTAGTGCTTTTAAAATCTGGGCAATTGGGACTAGCTGGGCTTTACAGAGAGTACGTTATTTGAATCTAAGATAGAATTTAGCTCTTTGAAGTAATTTAAACAGAAATTGTGTGACATTCAAAATAGAAGATCTCGCATTTATTGTGTAATTTGAATGTAACTGATATAATTCTTTCTCTATTTTAAATATCAGATAATCTTGATTTTTGATCTTTGCATATCACTATTAAAATGATTTTCATTTGTTATGAAAGAACTGCTACAGCTAACCCCATAGAATGAGAGCAGCTTTAACATAAATTGCTCTTTCTTAAATAAAACGCCAGCAGAGGGAGCCCAAGAACTATATAAAAAGGAAAAATAGTATAAAGAAAATGTTTCTGTCATTCATGTATTCATTTCAACAAAACATGTATTTAACATAAAGGATGAGAATGCCAAGAAATGTACCCTTACAAATCAGGAATTTGGGTTTAAATTGTAGGATAAAGAGAATTGAAAATTCTCTTTCCATACCATCTCAATTGATAGTCAACTACAGGAGTAGCTCAGGGTACCTAAAACACAACAGCACACTTAAGCGTTGTAACTCTCCCCTTCCTTCCCACTCAACACCCTGCCACTGACCACTATTCCTAAAGGCTTGGATTTTCTCCATCTGATAAGTCCCTCCTGACAGTTTTATAAAAACAAAGCCTTGAAAGCTGCATTAGGCCAGCCTGTTAGTAAGGCAGACCAGCTGGTGGTGGCAGGCTCTTCGTCTGTCTGCTGTGTTGAGTACCAGTGGGGACACTCTAATTTGGAAGCAATGGTGCTGTGGCTATATTGTATCCCACCAGATGGCGATGTTCTTTATCTTTAGAAAGATGCTGCCAGTGTTGGCTCAGCTCTTATTTGCTCCTGCTCATAGGCCAGAAATCAACATCTATCAGTTTTTGGCATCAGGCTCCAGAGAATAAAACCAACTCTTCCACTATCCATAAAAAATGGCATTTGCCAATTATATTTTAGAAAGTTAGGAAGCTCTTGGGCTCCCTCTACTGATACTGGATTAACAAGTAGATTCATTTATAAATATAAACTCTTTCCAGAAGATTTCAACATCTTGGATAATTAGAATAAACAATGAGAGAAGACAGCCGGAAGGGCTGGTCCTATGGTGTTATTTGGCTTCTGTTGCTGAAGGCTGAAGAGACTAGAAATCGATCTGTGAGAAGGATGTAGTCTACACTTTGGGATGTATAGGTAGATTAAAAATGTGCACACATGCTTTGTGTTTCTCTGTAGAAAAATAAACAGTTCTTGGCTGTTCAAAAGAAGAAGAAGGTAAAGACAGCCTGGGAAACATGAGGCTTTGACGTATCTGCCTTTTCTTTCTAGCTTGGCCTATCTTGGCTTGTACACCAAAGTCAGTTTCCTACCAGCATCTAAAGTTAGGCCATGGGCCGGCACCATGGCCCATGCCTGTAATCCCAGCACTTTGGAAGGCCAAGGTGGGCGGACCGCTTGAGACCTAGGCAACATGGCAAACCCCCATCTCTCTGAAAAGACAAAAATTTGTGGCCACAGTGGCGTGCACCTAAACTCCCAGGTAGTCAGTAGGGTGAGGTGGGAGGATCAGTTGAGCCAGGGAGGTCACGTGTGCAGTGAGCTATGATCACACCACCACACTCCAGCCTGGGGACAGAGCAAGGCACTGTTTCCTACCACCCCCCCCCAAAAAAACAAGGAAATAGATAAATTTTTGTAAGATCACACAAATTCCATAGTTTTAAGGTCTTGTAACTGTATCAACATACTATAAAATGGCATTTTCATTTGGATAGAAAAAATAAAACAGCATCCCTTTATTGAAACCCTGTGTATTAAATTTAGAATCTTCCTACATACTTCGTGCGTAAGGTGAGCCATCACTTTGCCTTATGACTCGGATTAAAGGATTATGCAGAGGGTGGCCCACTGGCAGTGAGTTTCATTTCAGGTGATAAACCAGGTGACCCAGCCAGTTAAGACACTACAGGCTGAGTTTTGATCAGCCTCTTCTTAGTAGTAGTAATTAGCAGATTAAAATTTTTGGAAAATACTTTATTTTAGTTATGTGGATGTAGAGTTTTATGACTACATGAGTGAGTGTGGAATCTAGTGAGAAACATAGCAGTGGGGCTTACATGCAAGCCAGGGAGCAAGTCCTGTAGGGGATATTCCCAGGGCAGCACAGCAAAGAGGGATGAGGGAGCATGTGTGAGTTTAGCATAGGGGAGTGAACAGCAGGTGCCAACTGGGTTAGTACTACCGGAGATTAAAGTGAGTTAGAGAACCTTGCAAGGGGATCAGTGTGTCCTTTGAGATCAAGGAAAGCCCGTATTCACCCTGACTAGCATGTATTTGACAACTCTATAGCAAGAGAGGACTTTGGTGGGTTTTAAGAGGAGAGGCACAGTCAGATCTTTATTTTAGAGGGACCATGGAGAGGATAGATATGAAGGTGGTAAGAAGATGGGGACAGTGATAAGTGATTAGTTAGCAGGCTCTTAAAACAACCTATGTAAAAGATGGTGCAACACTATAGCTGTAACTCTAGAGAGAGAGGGTGGGGTGGTAATTCCAGTGCCTTGGGTGGTCTTTACAGATTAAAGTGTACTGTGCAGTTTAGAAATGAGCTGGGGGAACTCATTCTTTAGGGAAATATAGCTTGTAATAATACTGAGATTATCCTGTAGTCCCTACCCATCTATGGTTTTCTATTTTATGTCATATATATATTGGTTTTCTTTAAATACATGTGAATCAATCTGTACTTAAGAGAATAATTTGACATTGTATTTGATTAAATAAGCCATTAAATAACTAATAACTATAGAATTTTATTTTGGACAGTTGGGCACTTATCTGTTAAAAAGGAATAATGCAGTAGAAATTCCCATGTTTCCTTTCATCTTCCTTTAGGGGGTGTGTGTGTGTGTGTGTGTGTGTGTGTGTGTGTGTGTGGTTGTTTTCTGTTCTTCTCAAATGTAAATTGCCCATTTTATGCATCTCCTGGATCTCTCTTTCCTTGGCATGCCTGGCCCTGAAATTCTAAATGACTTTTACAGTTCTTAACCTTTTATTGTGGCTTTTTTCCTTTACTTTGATTGAAAAATATAAGTTTCTATAGAGCTTAAGTGAAAAATGTGTTCTTGGAGTGCAATATTAGGGGTTAGCACATATAGGAAATTTGATGGTGTAAATGCAGATTATCTCACTGTAAATTTTTTGTGAAAAGCATTTGAAATTTTATTTTTTAAATATGTTGTTTTAAGTGGTGAATGTGTTTTTAAAAATCTTGAACTGTAACCTTGCATGTTTTGCGTTCATGCTCACAGAAGTGGAGGAGTGTCAACAGTCAGAAAATGCACCTGCATCTGGATCTGGCCATCTCACGGTGGGACAGCAGCAGCAGGTCCTTCGGAGCAGCAGCACCTCCGATATTCCTGAGCCACTGTGCTCAGATTTTTCTCAGGGTATGTGGTGTCTTCAGTGATTAATACGGAACTATAGATTCTGGTAGAGGAACAGAAGCTGCATATAGCATTACTTTGTACATGTATTCTAAATATATTTATTTCAAGGGAATTAATCTTTTTAATTTGATTGCAAGGATGTGATTTATGGCAGTGAAATATTTGCATTATTTAAACATTTGTCTAAATTATATATATCTATATGTAGATATATAGCCACTTTTTTAAAGGTTGGCATGTTTGAGAACTAGACAGGAGTGCAAGTGGCTGGAGTAGAAGAGAAATAGAGACTGTTACAACACAGAGTCAGGAAGGGCATCAGTTAGATATTACAGAAGGCAGGGAGGAAGGATGGGGGGCAGGGATGTAGGGAAAGGGCTGTGAGAAGAGCCATTAAAGTTGAAAATGAGAATGGAAAGCTGACCAGACTTGTGAAAAAGTTTATTAGCAGCTTGCCGACTCTGCTGAGGTTGAAAATAATAACTTTTAATGGCATTAATCTACACGGTTTCACCAACAACTTGCAACAGCAACAGGGTGTGGAAAGCAAGGAGACAGATGGTTTGACCTATGAACAGTGAAGAATGTGTTTCTCAGTGAAAGCGTGTGTTTAAAGTGTGTCTGGTATCAGTGGACATACTTACTCTGTTTGGGTGTCATAAATTAAGACATTCTCTTTGTCAACAAGTTATCTCCTATCTTTTAGTGTCAGGGTCATGCTAGTCTCATCAGATGAGTAGGAAATTATTCTCTCTTAGAAATTCCCTTGAAATAAGAAAATACAATAAAAGTTTCAGAAAATGTAGTATCTGAAAATTTTTTGAAAGGTTTTATATAAAGTTATTATTCTTTTCCATATGTATTTAGTAGAAACTACCAGCTTCTTGGATTTTTCTTGTAGGAATGTTTTAAAATATCATTCATATTTTAACAAAATTTCAGTTATGGAGGAGGAATAAGTTTAAGAGTTCTGTTGTACAGTATGGTGACTATAATTTATAAGTGTGTTGTATTCTTGAAAATTGCTGAGAGTAGATTTTAAGTGTTCTCACTGCAAAAAAGTAAGTATGTGATACACGTTCATTAGCTTAATTTAGCCATTGCACAGTATATACACACATTTATACACATGCTATACTCCATATGCTATACACAGTACATTAATACAGTTTTTATATGTCAAGTTAAAAAATTTAAAAAGTTTAAAAAATAAAATAGTTATAGGACTATTTAGATTTTTCTTTTCTTGTTTTGCCTTTGATAAATTATGTTTTTTTTAGAAACTTATTCATTTTTTTCAAATTTATTGGTCCCAGATTATTCATAAAATCCTCTTATGATCAGTTTTAGTGTTTTCAGGCTTTGTGATGATATTCCTTTTTTTATTACTGAAAACTGGTTATTTGTGCTCCCATCAGTCTTTATTCTCAAGCAATACTGAGGCACCTTACTGCTCTCTTCTTCCTGTTAGTTCACCAGCCCAGCCTAGGCACCTTTTCTCTGAGATACCTTCCCCCAGACCCCAAGAAGGGTTTCATTGCCCTCCCCTGTACAAGCATAAATGCGCTTAGTGAACTTGTTGGTCACAGAGAACAATCATCAATCTACTCTCTTCAGAGTTCTCGGTGGGCGAGAGACCAGGTCTAAAGTGTGAACTTGACCCACAGTCTTTTGTTTTGCCAGGCCCATAATTCCTGTCTTTACTTATCTTAGAATATTTAAATTTAATAGTTAACTTATATATAAAATCATTTTCCAGTTTTACTTTCTGAAGCATTCCTTCTATCTATTTCTGCTACCCCCTGCTCCACCATTTCTAGGTCAAAAGGCAGAAAACGCACAGAATTTGAGTTCTTCAGAGCCTCAGCCTATTCAGGAGAATAAAGGCCATGTGAAGAGAGAACACGAAGGAATAACAGTAAGATATTTTCAAACCATTTCAGTTTGTCATTAAAAATAAACATTAGTTAGTGCTCAATGAGTATATTTATTGGTGACAGTGATAATTAAAACATTTTTTTTCCGTTTAGACAGGTTGTAGGCCCAAATGATGTTGAGGTCTTTCAATATTTTGCCTGTTTTCTGTGTAAAATTACAGTCACATTACAAAAATAGGAAAAAGTTAACATGAAAATGGAGTTTGAGTTCTTCAGAGGCTGATCTGTGTATGGCACTGGATATTTTTAAGCAGTTACCTTTGCCTGTTAAACTTACATTTCAGATTCCCCATTCCTGACATCAGTTTAGGTAGCCTCCATCTGACATGAGTTACTAGAATCAGTGAGTATTCACAAAGATACTAGTTTTCTTTAAAATAAAATAAACTAAATTAAATGGCATTTATTTAAATATATATATAAATATAAAGAAGAAAATTAAAACATAAACCCATAACTCTTTCATGCAGATAACCCCTATTCATTTTTTTTAATGTAGTATATATTCATAGAAAACTAAAACATCACAGAAAGATACAAAATAAAAAAGGGAGGGCCTCTTTTTGGTCCCTTCTTACTGGACAATAACCCATGTTAAGTTTTTTTTCTCTTTATTTTTTAAAAGGGCATGTACGAATGTTATTCTTTACAAGATAACCCCTGTTCTCCGAAGTGGTTGCATCACTTATATTTTTGCCAGCATTGTACAGAGCTCCCATTCATCTACATTCTTACCAATACTTTCTATTATCAGATTTTTTTTTCATTTTTATTGGTCAACTGGGTGAAAATAGGATATCTTAATTTGCATTTCTTAGACTACTAATGAGGGCAAAAATCTTCCAGTATGTTTATTGGCTATTTTTGTTTCAAAATATTTTGTTTCAAAAAATTGGCATATTTTGCTTATATACATTATAATTATTTTGTGTAATTTCTGTATGTTTGTCTTTCCAAGCATATTATAACTTTTCAGAGGAGGCGAATTGCCTCCTGATTTTTTTTTAATCCTGTGAATTTAATACAAGGTTAAGCAATGTTCAGGAGAGTCTGTGGCACACTTAACTAGGAAGACGCTGAGTGGAACTTTAGAACTCTTGGTGGAGTTTGTGCCTTCCCTTCCGCACACTCACCATTGGTTGGGTAATCTAGGCCTTCCTAGAGCATCATGTTCACTATACATGTGTGCTTGATCAGAAAAATAAATAGAACTTTAAGACAAATTTCTTCCCTATAATTTGGTGTTTCTTCTTAGATCAGTTTAATTGGATATAAATTGACAAAGTAGAGGATATAAAGTTTCAGATCTTGAGTAACATAAAATTAAATATAGTAATTTGTGAAAACATATCCTTCAAATAGAAAATATGAATTTGTTTAGCTATTATTGTTTGTTTGTTTCTTTAGAAATTTGGGCTAGAAACTTAAGTCTTGTAGAAATAAAAACTTTCCTGTAGTAAATACAGTATTTCTTTTTGTCTGAAGATCTTGGTTCGAAGAAGCAGCAGCCCTGCTGAATTGGATTTGAATGATGATTTGCAGCAGACACAAGGAAAATGTAGGGAAAGACAGAAGAGTAAGTTCTGAGAAATGTAATCTGTTCTTCCAACTACATGTTCTATTTTCTTTTTATGTTATTTATTATTATTGTGATCTGAGACACAGTCTCTTTTGCACAGGCTGGAATGCTCTGGCACAGTCATGGCACACTGCAGCCTTAACCTCCCCAGGCTCAGGTTAACCTCCCACTCAAGCCTCCTGAGTAGCTGGGACTACAGGCACATGTGAATGTGCCTGGCTAATTTTTCTGTTTTTTATAGAGATAAGGTTTCACCATGTTGCCCAGGCTGATTTCAAGCAACTGGACTCAAGAGCTCTTCCCACTTTTTACCATCTAACTTGAGTGATAGCTTATCAGTTTAAGAGAGATGGTTGTTAAATGGTACCTTTTTATTTCTGGAATCGTAGAATTGATGAAAGGTTCATCCATACATAACAATAAAACAGTTCCACTCACCTGTACTTTGAGAGGCTTTTCTACACCTGGGCCTTTCTCCAGGTGAGCGGTACATCAGAGGCTGATGGCATGAGTGAGTAGACAGACCAGAGAGAAAAATTATCTTCCCCAGAAAGTTCCCAGAGGCCAGAAGCAAAAGGCATCAGAAGTACATTGAAGTCAATGGGATAAATACTTGGAAATGAAATGGGATTGGAATCCTCAGATGTACTAACATATATCTTAAAATACAGCCTTAGTACTCTACTTTCCTGAAGTCAGGTGCCAGAGTAGCATAGTAAACACCTTCTGAAGTTCAAGACGGTTCTTGATGGGTGCAGAGGAGCTCCATCTTCACCCTGTTGGCTTAGAGCTCTTTGGGAGATGAAGTTTGGGACCTGCCATTGGTCACCTGTTACTCAGACAGCTTTCAGTTCTTTGTGAATAAATTAAGGACAGCAGATTAGAAACAGCAAGGGTAGGGGGCTTTTAGGAGGAGATACAGAGGGCAGCCAGAAGGGTGAGCAGGCAGAGATGTAGACACATAAAGTTGTTATGAAGTAGACAGGAGACTTTGAGAAGCAGAACTGTCTAGGTTTCTTTTATGTCAGACTAAATAGTGCTATAAGCCTTAGTAGCCCAGCCTTATTATATTCTGACAAATTAGAACTTAGTACTATTTAAAGGGGAGAATTTCTGTTCTAGAAAATCTGTTGTATTATATTGAGGCACTGAATCCCTAAACGACACTGAATGAATCACCCTAGGTTTATGTCTACATGTGAAGCTTGGGGAATACAGCATCTTTAGACTCTTCTATCTGGCGGAGTAAACTTGCATTTGTGGTGAATCAGTGATTATCTTGTTCCTCCACCCACCCTCATTTTGTAAGCGTAGCACACTCTAGGATTTGGTGTAATTTGGGTAGAGGGGATGCTGAGTGAAGACACATTGACGAGTGCCACTTGAATGATACATAGTGGTGCTCATAATGACTATTAATATTCTGTATTTGGAAGATTGATTTTCTTGACCAAGAGCCCCATGTGGACACTTTTTGAGCTCCTCTCAAGTTCTGCAGGTTCTGCCAAAGAACCTGAATGATTCCTGATGTGTCTGCTGTTTGAGTGTTTAGTTACTTGCATAACAGCAATTGTGAACATTCTGATTTCCAGCTATTTTTTTTTTAAACTTTGGTTCTTCTCTTGTACCAGGTGAAAGTACCAACAGTGACACAGCTCCGGGCTGTAACAATGAGGCAGAACTGTCCATGGGCCCATGGCAGACCTGTGAGGAAGACCCAGAGCTGAATACTCCCACAGATGTGGCTGACGCTGATGCCCGTCACTGGTTGCAACTGAGTCCCACTGATGCTTCAAACTTAACAGGTAAACTGCATTTTGAAAAAGAGGCACTCGTGCAGACAGCTGGGAGATTAGCTCTGGGTTCTTGGAGTCCTGTATAGAGAGGGTTCTGAAACAGTTGTAGGAGGAATTGTGCCATGCTCCTGACCACTGTCCACTGTAGGAGGAAGGGATAGTATTCATGCCAAGCCTTTACCATCCCTGATTTAATTTCTTCTACTCTAGAAAGAGGGAGAGTGATTTTTCCAACTCATACATGTTATAAATCCAGGATAAGTCAAGGAGTTTAGATAGCCTATTGATTAATTTTTGAAATTTTTAAAGTATTTGATACGTAAAATGTAAGTTGTAACATATGCAATATGTAAGTTACAGGGCACAGTAATAAAGTGAACACCAGTGAGTCTACTACCCAACTTAAGACCTAGCATGGCACCCAAGCCAATGGGGTCTCCTAGAAGTCTTTCTCAAGTCCCTCTCCTTCTCCCATTATCCTGGAACCCTAGCACAAATTTGTTTTCATAATAATACCATGTGTGTCAAGCAGCATATCATTTAGTTTTGTTTCTAAACTTAAAAAAAAAAAAACTTCATAATCCTTATTTTTTGTAACTTTTTTAACCTCAGATTGTTTGACTTGAGAGCCAGACTTTCTGGTTGGCTTCCAGGCACTGACAAGGAATTGCTAGGTGTCTTGAGCTAGTTACTCAATCTCTGTCCTTCTGTTTCTTTACCTGTAAATTGGAGGTAACAGCCCCTACTTTATAAAGGTTGTTGGAAGAATAAATGAATGAATGAACTTCTTAGGTGCCCAAAAGAGTGTGTGTGGAGCAGTCTGCAGTTTTAGCTATTCACATGTGCACACACATATTGTGTGACACTGGGTAAGTGAGCCTCACAGTGGCTAAGTTCTCTCACCTGTGTGACCAGGCTGATGAGAACGGGAGACCATGGAGGAGCTGGGTTTTGTTTTGCTTTGTTTTGTGGAGTGTCGAGAGAGACTCATGCTCTGAGGCATCAGTGTGGAAATGTGGAGTGTCAGGGAGACTTGTGCTCTGAGGAATCAGTGCAGAAATGTGGAGTGTCAGGGAGACTCGTGCTTTGAGGAATCAGTGCGGGGAAGGTGACCAGAGCCAAGACTTTTCTGGTTGTCCATTCACGTTCACACCCAGACACCTTGTATGAAAATAACCACTACCAAGTAATAAGATTAGTAAAAGAGAGTTATTAAAATGCCAAACAATATTTTAAAATGATTAACATAAAAGCTAAAATTTTACATTAATGGATGATTTTTTAAACCAAGGAAACTAGTTTACACTGTGTTGTAAAATTGAAACGTCTCTGATATTTGGGAAATTCTTGATAGACTATCATTAAAATTTCACAAAATTGACATATAAAAGTGGTATTAGATAAATTCTTTATAGAATAATAATTTTGACTAATACATTGATATGAGATTTAATTGAAGCATTCTCTTCGATTCTGTATGGGAAGCAGGCCAAGTCTTATTGTGTCTGTTTTAGAGATGAGGAAACTGAGAACCAGAGACATTGTTAGCAAGCTGGAGTGTGAGTTCCACAGATGAAACTGGCTTCCAAAGTGTGTTGGCTCAACATGCAGTGTTGTGTCTACTATTTTACACTGTGTTGCTGTTAAAATTAAAATTACTCTAAAGCCCTTTGACCTACTTGAGAATCCTTGCAGTTTATCCAAGAGAAACTCATCATTGTGGTACTATAGTAGGCAAAACTGAAGCTTCAGACTGAATTTACTTAAACATGGACTGGTTTTAATTATTTTTATTGAAAGGGAAGAAAATTAGGTGATTACTTCTTTTGTCTGTTCTTTGGGAAGATTAGTTTTGATCCCATTTCAGAGTATGTATTGGACAGCTCAATTTAATAAACCTCTGTGAGGTAATTTTATATGATGCACTCCATGTTGTGATTAACTTTTCCAAATACATAGTTCTTTGAAATACGAATATAGAGAATCAGTACACACAGTTCAACAGTTCACCTTGTCATCCGTGAAAAGGACAAACTGTAATGTGATAAGGTTTAAGGATTATCACAGTTCTGAATTTAACTTTCTGTTCTTAAAAGAGCAATTTCTTCATAAATGTTCAAAGTAAAACTCATACGAGCCTGATTTTTTAGGACATGCAAAGAGAAACAATTTGAGTATATCTTTGTTTCTTACTGAATAATCCTACCAGTTATGAAATGCTTAGCATAATGAACTGCCTCTAAAACTTAAATTCCATAATCACTGGCAAGTACCAGTTTGTATTTGCTTTCTCATTTAAATCATGTTTGCTGAAAATAGCAGCCACATTTACCGTGTATGGTCTTAAAGTATACCTGGGATTTGTTTTAATCAGGTGTGGTAAGACATACAGACTTGTAAGTGATTGTTGTGGAGGAAGAAGCTTATATTCATGGATTCCTGGAAACAGGGGTCACATGGAAAGCGCCAGGAGGCAGAAGGAACAAAATGAGGCAACAGCTTTAGTGTTATTTCTATGGCAATAGCAAGGCAAGGCAGGGTATGCAGACTTAGGATTACTAGTATGAATGATTTCAGTGGGCTCTGGAGCATAGGGCTGTTCCTAGTTGCCTGGTACCCAGTCCTGGGATGATAGGGTAGGGGAAATTGACTTGGTATGTGAGAGCTAGAGAAAGGAGGTGGTTGGAGGGTCTGAACTTTGGATTGGTAGGTTTGCCTATGAAAGGCATGCTGCCTGGTGAACAGACTTCTATCTCTAGGAATTGGCTAACCCTGGAAGTGGCAGTCCTTCCCTGATCAGTGAGGCCGTAATGCCAGAGCATTGAGAAGACAGAAAATAAGAAAATATAGTTAACACATGCATAAATTTAGTTCTGTTGAAACAGTCAGGGGAGGGGACATTTATGAATCTACAGCTAAGGGTCAGTATTGCCACTGACCTCATCCCTTTTTTAACAAATAAGCTTATAGTCTAGAAATACTGGTTTAGATGCTATGAGAATAAAAAGATGACTAGGTCATAAGCCACTATAGTTTTTAAGAGCTTACAAAATGGCAGAAGACATAACACTTATCCTGATAGTCACAAATAATGTGGTAAATTCTATGAGATTTCCTTAAAGTTACAGAGATAGACAAATAGACGAATGGAACAGAAGATAAAATATAGAACCGAGTGCACACAGACATGGAGTCATGATATATGATATATGTGGCTTGTCAGGTTTGACAGGGAAAGAATGTTGTTCAACAAATTTTCTGTGGGACAAGTATTTAGCAATATGGAAAAAAAATAAAATAGAATTCCTACCTCACGCTATGCCCAAAGTCAGTTTCAGAGGGATAAAATACATAAATGTGAAAAGGAAAATTTAAAAACTTTTGGAAGAAAACATCTTTTTAAAAAGGTCTATGATTTTTTTTAAAAAAGCTAATCATAAGAAAAGTGTCAGTACTTCAACCTCAGCAAAATGAAAACTGTATTACCATAGAAACTTTAAGAGTTCTCCGGTTTAGCAGAACCACGAAGGGTAAAAGTCAGCCTTGTGCTCTTTCCCTTCCACCTTCTTGTTAGCCTAGTGATAAATTTTAAGGTAAGGTTTGGTGAGAAATGTATCTAGCATCTTGGTTTAGTTGGGAGTTTCCAAGGTCTTTCTCTACTAGAATGTAAACTCCAGGAGGGGAGGCTTGTTGTCTACAATGTATACAGCTGATTCTTGCTTCCGAGAACAGTTCATGACAGGAGAGAAGCATTCAGTAAATGCTTAAATAAGTGAACAAATGCACTTTAAACTGCAGGCTGTTGTTTTATATAGCACAATTAAATTTAAAATTTTTAGAAATAATATATGAGATGGTTTCAAAATCTTTTATTTAGTGTGTTTATCGCAGTCCTGAATCCAGATGTTACAGAATTTTTTTTTACTACTTCTTTTAATTATAGCTGCAAATATGAATTACATCTCCTGTTACTTGCCACTAAAATGGTTTTTGCAAGAGTGGTTTGTCAACATTCTCTGTCATCCCATGCATTTTTGGCATTTTCACCAGACTTGGTGTGTTTTAAAGTCATGAAATATTAGACAGAAAAATAATAATGATAGCTACTGTGGCATTGGTAACTCACCTTCTAAAATCTTTGCTGTGAGCAATGATTGTCCTTGAAGAGCAGAGAAAGAAGGAGAGGAGAGTCAGGCTGCGCTGGTGGAAGCAGATGCCACCTGCTGCTTCTCCCCTTCGATCATTGACATCCAGGCCAGGCCTGAATTTTTTGGCACTAGAATTAAGTTGTTTCACTCAAGCCTTTTGGTTTGTTTTTTATGTTTAGTTTCAAAGCAAAAGGAAAATTTGTTTTCAAAGACTGAGGCTACATTTCTTTAACAGTGAGCCAACCTTTTATAAAATTGCAGCCATATGAAATCACCATTTGGCCATAAATGCTTATTTTGCCAACTGCCAAGACTTATTTTGTGACTGAAATCCTTTCTATATTTGCAAAGTTGTAAACTTTTAGATTTCTTTGTAAAAATTATGAATGTGTTTGGAGAAGGATAACACAGTTATGCTTGTAAGAGTTCCCACTTTAATAAAAAGTTTAAACATCCCCATAGCATTACGTAGTAATAAAACAGGAATACAGTAGGCTAACATACTAGCTTGCTAGTGAGAAAGAAAATAAACTAGATTTTGGGTATTTTTAGGGTAAACATGAAATTTTCTGAAATCTCTCAAATCCCCATTTTTAATTAAGTGCTCCTTCACTGAGGAACTGTCTACACGTAAAAAAAATGTCAGCATCTGTTCTGTCACTTATGCCACAAGCAGAATAATTTTGGACAAAACATTTCAACTCATTAACATTCTTGTTCACAATAATACCGAGGAAACTCATACAGGCATCGCAGAAACTTCTAAAGAAGTCAGCATACCTTGATAATTTTATGGAGGATGTTGCCTAGGATTTTATCATTGAGGCATGCATTTTTCTGAGTGTAAAGCAGTATTGAAGC